TGGATGACGAGCTGACTAGTTTTGTCTGTGAGCCAGTAGTCAAGCTGTGCTGTCCCCTCCCCTTCTGCTCACTGACAGTTGGACCCACGAACCCCTCTCTCCAGCCATTACCCCGTCCATACCTTACTTCTCTGTCACCCATATGTCATATGATATGTGTATATACTGCACCCTTCTCACTGCGATTTAACAATAATTTTGAGTTTTATTTAAATTTCTTTTGCTAAAGCTAAAATAAAAAATAGATATAATTAACAATGGAAAGGAAAGGAAAACCGAAAAGGGCTCATTATAATATAAATTATGAAAAAAGTAAAACAATAATTTTGTTCTGTAGGACTTTTTAGAAAAATGTTTCTTTCAAATGAGAAAAAGAGAAGAGGCAACTATATATTTTTGATAGCTGACCTCTGCTAGTACGATATTGAGGAAGATGAAGATTAGATGAACGTCTGGTTCAGTAAGAAGACATTCATGAATTAGTTTGAAAAACTATTTGTAAGATATCCCACTCTGAATCGCATCTTGTACATAAAAATAAAGATTTTTAAGAACAGTAATAGCATAAATTGATTTTACTTGTTTGCCATTGTAACAAAATGGCTCTGGGGGAAGGACATATTCTGAAGGATACTTATGATGTTGTATGAAAAGTAAGGACAAGCGGTAGGGTACAAGGATACAAGGGTATGGAATGCTGTGTTTGTCCAAAGAATATGTTACTCACCATAATGGCAACCCTTTTAACAAATTGTCTTCTGCTGGAAACATAATTTATAAGTCATAAACCATATTACATGAATTTATACTTTAAAATGTTGTTATTAATTGTATCAAAAGCTTTTGAAAGAAAATTCATTATTTTCAACTTTTTTTCATTTCCTTGATTGCCACATGCTTTTAGCGCCTCACATTGCAGCCTCATTGCCTTATCTCTTATCGTTTCACTCTCCGTAAGCTGTTTGGTGCGTGGCGCAACTAAAAAGGTTATCCTTAATTAGCAACAAAACAGGCTGCAATACTCGGGGGCGGGGGGCGAGCTGGCACTGCCACTCTGCTCTCTTTCTGCCGGTCTCCTCTACATTTCTCTTTTATTCTTCTCCATTGCAAAGAATTACATGGCTTATGCTTCATCCCTGTTGCTTTCACTCATCCTTCCTTCCCTTGTTTTTCTATCCATCCAGCAGCTCTTGCATGCACTGTAGCTCCCATGTTAGCATAACCAGCCCCATTTTTTTTTTTTTTATCTGACACACATGGCTTCCCTGTTGACTTTGATCCTCAGATCTTAGTATCAAGGGACCATTCACTCGTTCGCCTGGGGGAGGTGACAGAAATGTCTGTGTTTTCCTTCTGTGTGCATGAGAGAGAAAGGCGGGAGAAAAAGCACAACATGCAATAAGTGGAGAGTGAGAGATGACAGAGCCTGTGATCCAATATTTTCCCCTTTGAGATTTTGGGCTGGTTTCTCGGTCGCTCTCTGACATGTATGACATTAATCTAATCTCTTTGCGTCTTTGTTGTTGCCTGGCTGTCTCTGATGCTCTGTCCTTATTGGACCCATAGCCACGGTGATGGAACTATTGATGCCACCAGTCATTTGTTTGCTTGTCCATTCAGCCATTTAGATCCAGGGTTGTAATTTAAAGAATCAATAGTGAGCTGATGAAGCTACTCTATGCTAAACTGGTTCTCATGACACATGTAAGCACAAGTGACTCACTGCTTCATTTCTCTATGTAGCCTCCAGTCTTCCCAGTCCCTCTCTCTTTCTCGTATGCTTGTTTCACTTCTCTGTTTTAAAATACCCACTGCACCTGCAAATTACACCATGATTACAACTAATAAATCACATTAGACATATTTTCACAACACAACATCATCAAGTTCTATGGTGAAGAAAATGGTGCTCCAGCTTTTAATTTGAAGGATAGGAATTTTCCTGGAGCCTGGTAGTAAGATGTATGATGTTTTATCATTCGACACAGAGCTTCATTATTTGTTTTTTTTGTATTTTGCATGCAACCATCTTAGTTGTAGTTAGCATCTTAACAAGAATCACCACCGCAGTTCCAACTTATTGATCCATTTAGAGTGGCAGGACATGACACCGATACGAAACCCTGTGGGTCAAAGCATTGCCAATCAGCCCATCCAAAAACAGCCTTCTGTTCTGACGTCTTCCACTAATGATGTCCAGTCCACAACGATAACCAGCAAACAAGACAAATTATCTCCTAGTCAAATAGCCAATTTGGATTAGTGTCAGTCTTGCGCTTTCGTTCGACCTTTGTTTTCTGATGAGATTTTTTTTTCTTTACCTATCCTTCCTTTTGTAACTCTGTTTGGTTTTTGGAAAAGTCAGAAAATTAGCTACATCCTAAACTGCTGAATATGTAAGGTGTGAGAGAAGGTGTGTATTCATTGACCGCCTGTCCATCTGTCCATGCACTTGTGTGTGTGTGTGTCTCTCAGTGAACGGGGTCCAAGCGCCTGCTAATAAAGGCTTAATGAAGTGCGATGGAGATATGGAGAGAGCTGTCCACACTCACAGATGTGAAACTTAATGAGAGAGTGTGGAGCCATGTACAGGAGCCAGGCCAAGAGAGAGGATGGCCACCTGGCATGTATACTAGAAGGAACTTATGGAGGTGTTGCATGTGTGCGTTTGACTGTTGGTCACTGTGTGTGTATAAACATACACGCTGTGTTATGCATGCATTAGCACTGTAGTCCATGCACCAAGCAGAACACTTAACTCCTTTTGCAGGTGGAGGCAAGTGAGGTGTAAATGTATCTCTTTTGACTGATAATTGTAGGCTATTAAATGAAACTGTTGTACTGTATAATGCTAGAAAGTGCAAGGGTTGCTCCACAGATTTACATTAGTGTGTTAATCAACAGCTAATCTTGCAATAAGCAGCCAGTTGTACTGTTAAGTCTTCACATTAAGCCTCATTTCTCTTATTTCAATTAACTAAAAGGAGGCGCTTAGAGAAAGCTTAGGAAGCCAGCTGCTGGCTCTGTAGCATTTCGACAGCTCATCTCTCCCCGAGTCCTGGGTAGCATTAGTCTCTCTGCAGGGAGCCTCACTGCCAGCTAGCTAGCTAGCCTCTGTGGGCTCATTCTTAACAACACACCTTAGCCTCAGGTGAGAGAGTGGCACGGTGCAGTGCTGCTGATAGCGCTCATTAGTCTCTGGATTAGCCCTGATTAGCCTAGCCGTTACTCCCAGTGATACGCCATGCTAATGCTAATTATGCATTTACCACTTTACCCTCTTTAGGCGAGCTGTGTGCCTAGCTTTATTACCTTTTATTCTCCCGTGACTTTTTCTTGGCGGCGCCTTCGACACCAGTTGCACTGGTGGCACATTTTTTTCTCTACATTAACTCAATGTAAGCTAATTCAGCAGGTTTTTATCATCCACTTTGCGACACATTGGTCTTGATAAGGAGCGGATATGGGGATGCTGCTGTTTGCGCTGAAAATAATAATCAAAAGTGTGTCAAGATAGGGTGCAATACCTACCTGAGCTGACAGTAATCACTAATAGGTGCTGTTCTGAAATGAAAAACAATGTGAGAGCATAATTAAGGGGGAGGAAACTGATTTCACGCCCAGTCAAGCAAACAGCTTTGTGGGAGTTTAACAAAAACATAGTTAGCTGGCAGATCAGAGTTTTTATTCCACTTGAGTGTTCATAAAGTTAAGCTACGATGAGTGTGACATTAAAGCAGCGTGAAGGCTGTCACAGGCAAGTGACAAAGTGAAATTGACTTTGATGAGATTGAGATGAGGCAGAGGAGCCTCTAACTCGCACTGTCCTTTCATCTCCATCATTGTCAGTCAAAGCTAGACACAGAGGAAGGAGGAGAAGATGGACAAGAAAGGTGGAGGAGAAGGATGAGCAGATAACCGCAAGCAGTGCAGTAGAGGAGCACAGGGGGGTGAAGATTAGCGGTGCTTCTGTTGAAGTAGGTTCCATGCTGATTTTCAGTGGCAGCTGTACATGCTGACTACAACCTCCAGAGATGCTGACACAAATCCAAACTGATCTGCTCGATTTTAGTGAAATTCAGCCCTCACCAGACTCACAGTACGCTGTATATGTCTATCAGCAGCTCTGTAAGCAAAAAAAAGGACTCTGAAACTTGTGTGGACTCAGCCATCTGCTTGTTTTGGACACAGTGTTGTATTTATATGTAGAGTTACTGTCTCAGACTGACAGCAGGAAAAAAAAACCTCCACTGGGATCTACGTTGACGTACCTGAGTGGACATTTTGAACCTAATTCGCCCACAGGCTGCAGTCTTAGTGGACAGAAATGTTCAAATGTGGGATGTCTGACTCTTGACAGGTTATTTTACTTCATGTTTCTTATCTAACCAAGCTGATTTATGTTCATCTCAAGCAAACCACCGGGTTATGGGATGTGATTGCAAAATATTCAGCGAGGCTTGTTTTGTGAGAAAGAGGAAGAGGACACAATTTCTGTAAGATAAGACAAACGCAACCTGTTTTCCTTCAGTTTTTGAAGCAAACCATATTTTCTACCTGAGATAGCAGTGCTTGCTGGCCTGGATGCCAACCAGAGTGTGGTCAAAGCTTATCTCTGTCCTTTCTGCCAGTAGAAAGTGCCAGTCAGCTCCTTTCATTGGTTTACTTATTCCTCTTAAGCCCTTATGTTGGTTGTGTCAAGTGTTATTACAGATTGCTGCCTCTCAGATTTGTCTCTCTTACAGTGACCTTCACAGGTAACCTCAGAAAAACGATTGGCAAGAACTCATCACAGGCTGTTTTGGGGTCAGTTGGTTTGTCTCCCTGGTACTTCAGTTTTGGCCGCGGGAAGAGGAACATTGCAGTTTAAGAGAGCAGATTAGGAAAATTGGTCCTAGAGTGCTTTTAGGAACTTAACTCTGTTGATGTTACACTAATCAAATTTATTTTTTCTCTTTTTCCTCCCCCCCCCTTTCCCCATCTATTCCTCTCTCTTACAGGTGGAGCGAGAAATAGCTATTCTGAAGCTCATAGAACACCCGCACGTTTTAAAGCTACACGATGTCTATGAAAATAAAAAATACTTGTAAGTATCACCAGTGGATTGTGGTCCAGTTTTGATTCATGTGAAATATACAAAATCGTATTATATACTACCCATAGTAAATCATTGAAAGTATGTATAAAAATGTACAAATATCATTACTATCAAGTGTTCTTTTGGATTCCAGAACAGTCTTTAAAATCCCCCCGATCATTATGTTGGCCCACAGAGTAGTTTTGATTGGTGTATTATGATTGGAGGGCAACACTGATAGCCTTGGAGGGGTGAATGCTCCATTAGTATTGGCATGAAGCATTTAATTTGGCCGTGCACGCTAGGAGACTGCTAATAGGGAGAGTAAGACGCTGTAATGTAAACACCATGACACGCTTATCAGAGGCAACACCATAGCATTAAGAAACATTAGCCACGGAGAGTGGCAGCCGCATTGCAGCAGCTGCACACACACACACACATGCAGGCGCACACATAAATCTATTAGCTAACTTTAGCAGCAGTGAGTGACAAGCCCATCAGTAGTTTATAGAAGCCCTCTTGGTCTACAGAGGACTGTTTGTCAACTAAATTCAATTAGTTTTCATCTTGAGCTTACAGGCCAAATGGGATTGGACATGCAGTACTGTACATGTCATCCGTTAAGATGATAGGAATAGCAGAATATTGTGATTCATCCAATAAATTGGATTATTAAAATCACATTTTGTGCCCATTGCTTCATCACTTTTGACAGTTGGTCACTAGTAGCATCACAGAAGACAAATTGCTTTACATTTTTATCACCAGAGACTCGAGTACACTCTGTGCTTCACATCAGTGATGCCATTTTCAGATTTATATTGTTTAGACTCTTACTCAGATATCTCCACTTGAAATGCAATAATTGATAAACATACAGTACAGCGCATTTTGAGTTAGCAGTCCCAGAGCTGATTTTTTTTATTATGGTGATGGCGCTGATATCACAAGCTGTTTAAAGTGGTGTGGTGTGCGTGTGTGTGTTTGTGTGTGTGTGTACAATAGGTGAGGGAGAAGTGAAGCAGTTTGATACATAGCCCACCAATATTTTATTTATGGATATTTAATAGCTTGAAATGAATGATCACATCATGATGCCAATATAAATTATGCTTCTGAGAATGAAAAATGGTTGCTCAGAAAAAAATGCTCAAGTCAAAGTCCATAATGCATATGAGTAGATTTCATGTAATAATACAATGAGCTGTTTTATTTCAGATAGTAACAAAATGATTCATTGTAACACCCAAGACCTATTCTTATTTTCTGAGCTACAATTGGGAACCGTGAGGTCAAAGCTGTTGAAAGTCCCACATTTAGCCACTCCCTAAAGCATACCCTGCTTTATCATTTATTTTACTTTAAATGGGACAATAATTTACTAAATGAACATCAGACTGTATTGAAGAAGAATTAGCGATTGAGACACTAAATTCATTAGGGAAACGGTTTACTGAGCTAATAAATCAAGTGAAAAATATGGTCATTTTTCCATTAGACTCAATACTATTAGAGTTCTTGTTTGCAGCCCATAGAGCTGCACCCTGCTGGCCATAAGAAATAATTTAGATTTAAGACATTTCCGCATTTACTTTACTTCACAGAACTGAAACCTCTGTCCACTCAAGTATGGGTCAAGCTCTAGACGTAAATACTGGCTTTCCATTTGGAGTGTGACGTAACTAATTGTTTTTTTTATTGCAGTTTTTAGAAAGCTCTTCCAAATCCTCCTAAAATATTCTACAACAGCTTTAAGTTCTAACGACAAAATGTATGGTGACGAAACTGATGGTGATTACAAAGCAAACTACTGGAAGAATAGCATTTAAATCATGGTCATATTATTTTATATTTTATATATTTATACTGGAAACTGTGTAAATTATGAATGCAATTCCAGTATGGCCATGTTTTTGTAAATGTATTAATGTGTGCTCGCTTACTTGTGTTTGGTCAGGTTGTTCTATGTGCCAAAGCTATTGAGGTTTTGCCAGCTTTTTTTGGCATTAAGTGTTGTTTAGTGAGCACATGCTCTGTGGCTGGGCACAGTTTGCAACACTATAGTGTAATCAATAAAATTGAAGTCTTGCATGTGGCCGCACATATCCACAGCAGGGAGAGAGTCAAAAGAGTATTTCACCGCCTGTCTGAGTTTCAATTTCTCCTAGTGAAGATGGAGGGCGTTTCAGGGCAGGATATATGGGCAGGCTAGTCCGGAACAGGGGCAGGGCACCGCTAGCTTTTAGCCCACAGATGCAGCTTTAGGTCTGGGTTGGCAGAGATTCATCCTCCCCGTCCCCTTGGAGCTCCAGAGAAAGAACCCAGCCACACAAAGGCTACATGAAGAGTGGCCATAAAAAATGTGATGGCAGGGGAGAAAATAGAAATGACAACAGAAGTACTTTATATGTACATTGATAGGGTTCATGAAAATCTCTCTTCCTTCTTCTCTTCTGTCTCTTTCGCTTGATTAACCAAGTGCTGAGACAGAGACTGTCACAGAAGCTTACAGCGTCTGTACCTTAGCAGAATTCACAAGCTCCTAAATCCCTAATGTCTAATAGCTTTCATACAACTTTTCCATCTTTTTGCAGTGTAATGCAACTATATCATCCCTCCAATGCCTCCCATCGGAGATCAGAGTGTATTGTATATCCGAACACTTCACATATATTGTAATACACTGTTGGCATGTTGCAACTCTAACTGTGGGGACAGCTAACGGATGACAAAATGAAAAATAAACAGTCAACCCAGTATGACTTTGGGGAGATCAGATCATTGATCCTGGGTGTTTTGTCTGTGTATATTGGCTGTGAGGGAGCACATTACTCCAGTTCTTACAGACCTCTGAGGTCAGGAGCTTACTCTGTTTCTTCAGGGTGTTTTCTGATGGCACACAAGTATTTGTGTCTGTCACTACAAGTGAAATATTTCGATCTCTATCTCTATTTTTCGATGTGTGTATGAGAGCTGCTGTCCTTGTTTTATCTTTATTTCTTGGACTGGTTTTCCTCTGTCCCTCTCTCTTTTAGATACCTCGTGCTAGAACATGTGTCTGGTGGTGAGCTGTTTGACTACTTGGTGAAGAAAGGCAGGTTAACACCTAAAGAGGCCAGGAAATTCTTCAGACAGATCATGTCTGCTCTGGATTTTTGCCACAGTCATTCCATATGGTAAGTGAAATGATACGCATCATACATATGTTGTGAATGGTTGGATTACACTGCTGCTGAAAACACTGAAAGAATGAATCCCACCTATCCTAATTGATGCTATTTATAAATGCTATTCCTTGCTTTATGACATATTGAAAACAAATATAATTTTGGCACAAATTAAGGGACAACAATGAGAATGGGAAGATAATATTTTAATTTTACCTTACATTGATAAAAATGCATTAAAGTATATGAATTATATTAGTTAAATTAAATGAAAAATGAATGATCACTATCTGCATAAAGCCATCACATACATTTCAAAAGATAAAACAACCATACCTAGGAGGTGTAACAGAGTCAATTTGGTTGTCATACAACATTGAACAAATAATGGGTTCCCAAATGATACATTTAAAAAAAAGATACAGATTCTTCCTGAAGTGAATTTACAATCTAAATTTCAATCAGTTTATTCATAGCTCTGGAGTGCTGTTTAGTTTTCAAGCCAATGATTCAATATGGAGATTACAGAACTGAGAAAATTTGATATCGCTTGTTAGGAAAGTGTTTATTTTTCCTCTTAAAGTTTTTATTTTAACATTCAGCTTTAACGGCTGAGGATCAAATAGAAAGAGTACAATACAGAGACGCATCTTTCCTCAAGTCGAGAAATATACATGACTCTATATACAATATGAGCCAAATGTCTCATAAAGGGGCTAATAGATTGTTTCTCATGAAACATCTGAGACTGAGAGGATGGTTCACCATAACAATGGTTTGGGGCGGGTTGAAATACAGATGGTCCACTTCTTTTCCAGATAAAGCGGCCAGGTATAATTTTTAGAGCGGAGCAGAAGTGATGTTTTTGTTAGCACTATGCTATGTTTAGTGATGACTCCATGTATTTGTAGAAATGGCTTCCAGGGAGTTACTTGTGTGACACATTGTGTTTTTCTTCACAGGAGTAATTTAACTGTTTACCAGCTCATAGACTAGAGGCAATCATATATACTTCAGAAGTCAAACATGTCAGCAGGGACTCGTGTAGAGCGCTCATTTGTGTGTATGTGTGTTTCTCGTTTGTATGAATGTGTAGTGTAACGTCTGTAGTGTCCATCCATTTGTGAGCCAAAAGCAGAGAGTAAGGGTTTTTCTTTCCTCTCCAGAGAGAGTATGCCTTTGCTCTGCATTTTGTCCTCATGTGCCTGCAGAGCAGAGCACAAGGACCACAGAGCAGAATGAGTTCAAGTGTATTTATTTTTACCTTGGTCACAAGTGAATCTCCAGTGACTTTGCAGTAAAAGGAATACAGAACTGAAAGATGAGATAGGAACAAAGAATACAAATGCATTCAACTAATTAGTAATCAGTTACATAAAAACAAGAATACCATGTAAAAGGGTGTTTAAGATCCACTTGGACAAACTGTAAAATATTCAAAACTAAGAAGCTGCTTCACATTTCAGGAAACAATACTGGGTTTGTGTATGTTATTAGTAGTTATTTTAATAAGTCTAGTTCTTGTATTTGTGTAATGTTTATTTTATACTTGTACTGGTTAAATGTGATATTATACCTTTTATTGTCATTGTGTTTATTTGACCCCCTTGCTTTACTTACCAGCTGGAAGGCCAGTCTAATGTAAACCAAGCCATTGGTTATTTAGAGTGTGTATATAATTGATCAAGTGGGTTGATATTTCATAAGTCAGACCTGCAGCACAGCAAAGGTGCTACTTAAATTGCATTTTGAGGTCAGTAACAATTAAAACATAGCCATTATGCAGCACATTATTAGTTTGTTTCCTTGCTGCTATCACCACTATAATATTCACAGGCAGAGGCCCAAACATTAAGATATCACCATAAAACCCTAGCCCGACCAAGGCTGGGGCACAAAATGCTTGCCAGCCCGTCGACTCATAATGATTATTTATGTTCCATCATAACTTTTGTGTCAAGGCTATAGTGTCTTGCAGTACTGGAGAGAGAGAGGCTTTTCAACTCCTCTGTGCAGAGTCTAGTATGCTTGGAAGTTTTCTGAATACCCTCCTGTTGAGGATGAAGCCAGAGATAAACAGTTACGGTGTAATATTCCCTAAAACCTGGTACTGAGTAATAAAAGCCTGGGAGATAGATATACATAATGTTGCACGGGCAATTAAAAGAAAATAATTAAACTGATTTGTCATGGAATTATTAGGTACAATTGCATTTCTGTGATTTGAAATGCTTTATATTTTTGCACAATATAGTTTATAGAAGAGGCAATTACATTTAGGCTACAGCTATTTTAATAATAAAGCCATTGTGGGAGCTGTTGTACAAAGTACAACCTACTACATGCTCGTGTCAAAATTACTTTACATTTTACTGATTATCTTAGGATGATGCGCTTGAGTTAATTTTATTGTTTGAACCATGAAATCGGTGGTTGATGGATTCCAACAAAAAAAAAAAACAGACGATAATTCTTACACCACTGGAAATAGAGCAAAACTGTCCCACCTAAGGGAATGAAAGTTAGAAGTCTTTTATCAGTCAGTGTAAATAACTGACTGTGAGGAGAACAGATTAGGCCAATTAGGAGAAAGCATCTGGGACTGACATTAAGTGCATGCACATACATAGATTATCACAGCTCTTTTGTAGTAAGATTCACTAGCAGATTTATCTCTCCCTTCCTGTTTTGCTTTGCGGCTGTCTCCCTGTCTTAGCTCCTCAAATCCCCTCACTAACACTCTTCGAAAATGATGCCTTGTAAATTTATCATGAGGAGGATTATTTGGGAGTGTTGCTGCACCCACTCGCCCTCCTCCCAACCTCAATTAGGGGCAAACAGACAGACAGACGCAGCCTCTCTCACCTCCCTTCCATTCCCACTAATGAGATCCCAGCATCCCCTCAATAAAAAAGCGTTTCTGCAATCATTTCTTCCATTTCTGCTTGTCTGTGCTGGGGACCTACACAGACCATTAGAAGTGCTCCCTTTTCTCTGTGATTCACCGTGCAGAGCGGGGTAAACACATGCTCCTCAACCCTCCCATTTTTGCTACTTCCTCATGCTTCCGCTCTCTGCCCACGTCCTATACCCAAATATCTCTCTTGAGCCAGATGGATGTAAGTCTGGATGTGAATGAAAGAACGTAGAGAGCTGTTTATGACTCAGTGTTTCCTCTGCCTAATTCAGATCATGCTCTGATTTAGACAGTTTTCTTTTTACGTTGAGGAAGAGAACGGGACAAAGTGAAGGACTCGAGGATAGCAGACGAAGGAGATGAGGCAAAGATAGGGTAGGATAAAAACAGATATCAGAAAGAAATCGTCAGTAAAATATATTTATAATGAATGCTGAGGCAATGAGAAAAACCTTCATTATATGTTCATATGAAACCAGTGTCAAACTGGTTTTTGGATTCTCCTCCTCAGACATGTCTTTCAATCCCTCTGTATGTCAAAGGTCAGGGTCAGCTACAGAACAGCTCCCGACAGCTGCTTTAGATTGAGTTTTTTGCTCGAGGTCACAAAAACAGAGTGGATGCTTATTATATGTAGTATAATATTGCAAATAATTCACCTCTACGTTTACTTGAGAGGGAATCCCAACAACAGCTTCGGCTGCATCTTGTCAGTTTTGACATTCGACAAAGTACACATCTGCTACACTCTCCAGAGAAGTCATTGTGGCAGTCTGCCATAAGTGCAAACATGCAACAGAGACACAGATTGAGAGGAGTAAAGTCTATTTTCCTTGAACGCTTGACAAGCTGCTTGTGTGCTTTACCTAGCTTTTGTGCCATATTAACAGATGATGAGAGGTTTATACGTAAGCAAGAAAAATAATAGAATTTGATATGAATGGCAATTTTACTACACTTGAAAGTGCCATAGAAAGCACTGCATGCTCTGATTTCCTGTGACAAATCTAATGCAAAATGTTTCTATTCTCATGTGAGCAATGAAGATGTATTGTATTGATTTTTTTTCAGTGTTTCTGTTGCTGCAGTGAGACTAGATGCAGAATAAAGAGGGCAGATGATCCAGGGTTGACACCAAACACACCCCTGTATCACAGTCATTTTGTCCACCCTTTCCCATCACATCACATTGTCAAATGCTGCACATGCAGAGATTTGCGTCACCTTCATTTGCATGGACAGGAGCAAACACCACCAACAGAAACCATCCACAGAAAAAGAAGCACAATCTCACTTTGACCACAGCACACTCTGTCCTCTTTCTCACCCCTGTTCTATTTGTTTAGTGATCACCCTGGTCTTTCCCCTTCCCTAGCTAACAACCCAATGTCTGTGTGTTTAATATAAAGTGACTGTGTGTGGGTAAGAGATAAAGACCGTCTGTCACATAAAGTGACTCCAAGCATCCCACTAAGTAAGGCAGACATTGCTAGTGCCCCTTGGAAGAGAACCCTGTCCCTAAAGCTCATAGCTCCATCATACATGCTCACACACAGTCACACATCTTCCTCTAATCCCTGACACTGATGTGAACATTATTTCTGCCACCTACATGTGCACAAACAAACACCTGGTCCAGAAGTCACATTAAACCCACGCAGTGGCATAATCATGCACATCATCCACGTTTACCTCTCTCTCTCTCACTCTGTATCCCCCACACTCCCTCCGTCATTAGCTGCTTTATTCTTCTCTTCCAGGGGCTTAAACAGCCACATACATCTGTCTATGCCATCACTTCCTTATAGCTCCACAGAGGGAAATAAAGCAAGCCACATTTTTTTTATTTGAGCAACATTTATCCCTCTTTGTGGTAGGTAAAACTGCAAAAATGTTCTACCATGGCAAATGGAATTTTATATTGGAATAGTGATAAATGTTCTGATTTAGGACATGTTCTTTATACTTGAAATAACCAGTTGGAAAGGGACATTTTTTTTAATGAATTCAATAATTATCAAGTCAAGGTATTTTATCACATTGACCCACAAAAAACATGTAGATTCAATATTGTTAATACAACCAATCATATTATTATACATCATCAGATATGTGTGGACCAATGAAGAGGCTGTAACATTCCTTCTAAATGTCGTATTTCTTTTTAATTATGGATTCTTGTTGCACCTTCTTTTGCAATGGTTTATTTATACCAGTACCAGGCTGGAAAACTAGTGACAACCAACTCCTTAATATTAGTATAAAGGTAATAAATGTTTATTTTTTGTCAATTGGCTGGCTAAAATTTGCACTACATTTGAATAGAAACCTGATTTCTGTCTATTTTTTCATGTATTGTAGTCTTTCTACAGCATGCAGTCCATGTTTGCCTAGTCGTCAGCTTCCACCCTCTGTATGTCCATCGCTCTATCAATAGCAGCCCATGCCCTTGTGGTTGTTTTGTGGTTGTGTTTGTTGACTTTCTTAGGAGAGTTTCCCCAGTTGACAGTCTGTCTGTCTGTCTCACTGCAGAAAGCCTGCACTTATAGCCTATCATCATTATGGCTGATGGCCACTAACAACACAGAATGGAAATCTTTTTTCTTCCTCTCGTTGGCTTTTTAAAATTTTTTCTGATATTTTCCTCTCCTGCAGAGCCAGTTAAAGCATTGAGGTGTAACTGGGTGAGAGGAGGGAAGTTGATGTGGAGAGGAGGTGGAAAGGAGATGGGATGGGTAAAATAGGAATGGAAAATGGAGCAGGAGGAGAACGAACACAAGTGGTAGGTTTATGGTGCCTGATTTAGGGGGAATAGGCTGGCTGTGTAACAGGAAAGATGGGAAGGCTGGTTGAATGAGGGAAGTTAAGAGTGGAATTGCTTTTCTAATTTTTAACTGGCCCAATTGCCTAATTTAAGATGAATTATCCACCACCATGGCGGTCTTTATTAGATGCCTGATGTTGCAATGGGTTTTTAATATCTATGCCACTCCTTCACTCCAATGCTTTTCTGACAGCGTGTCTGTTTATTCTGCCTTGAAGGTCTACTGCTCATCCTATCTTCCCCACTCAAACTCCTCTGGATTAAGAGCAAACGCTGGGTTGCACACACAGATTTGGCACAACAAAGCAAATAGTTTGTTTATTACAGATCGAGCCATCATTGTAATCCCACTTTTTAGTCACTGCATTACATGCAACAATGCATTTCTTCCCCAGTGTTGCTCAAAACCCCGGAGGAATTGATAGAAATGCCCCATATGGCACAGGGAATACTCTTGTTACCAGTCACTGGAGAAGTAAATCTTGTGTGTAAAAAAAAAAAAAAAAAAAAAAAAAACCCAAAATAGCTGTGTATCTTCCTCTCAATTCTAATTCAGTTTAAATGCAAATTATATGAGAGTAGACTACTAGATCATGGGATGCCCAGTTACTCATCTGGTAGCTCACCTTGCGCCCCATGAAGTCCTTATCACAGAAAGGACAGTGTAGTGAAGGACACGTGTAGGCCATTGCTGACCATCGGTCCTTTCCTTGTTATCATCTAACTAAAATAAATGTATACGTTTTCTTTCTAAAAGGGATGAATAGAAACCTTTGATTTATGTGTAACTGTGACCACATTTGACATGTACTCACTTGAAACCACTTGTACCCACCTACCCTTGCTTTTTTATATGTACTTTTAACAAACTGTGTTCCAAATGTAGTACATCAGATCTTTAACTTGGCTACTCCGAGGAAGAATAGACATAAACTACCGAATAAATTCTAAACACATCTGCCAGTCGCTTGCTTTAAAAAAAAAAATGCAAATGCAAAACCAATTCCATTAGACAGCAAAAAGGGAAAAATACGACTTTATCTCTCTCATCCCTCATTGCTCTTATTACACAATTAACCCCATTGGCTAAATGAACGATTGTGCCCACCACATCTAAGTCAGCAGTCAGAATGTCCTCTTTTGCTAACGCGATGGAATATTAGCCTAAAGCATTTTTAGCGAATGTGCTTGGTCTCTCTGTAATTGGGTCAACTGAAGCCTAAAAAAGTTTGAGAGAAAAAAGGAAAGATAGAAAGAGGAGGATGACACAGAGGTGCGCCAGAGGCTAAATGGGTGCATTTCAGCTCACAACGATGGTTAAAAACCCCACTCCAGCTAACAATAATGGTACCGGGAAAGCTTTAGTACTTCATGAAAATGCAAAAACAGGTGTGCTATTTTCCAGGCATGTTAATGTGTCAAAAATGTGCATGTGAGCCATTAGTGTTAAGTGTTCTGGTCTCGCTAATTAGTGTCACATATCTTTGTGCTATAACACAGACTTAACAAGACTCCATATTAAACATGGTGTATGTCAAATTTGTCACAATGGGAAAAGTATATTTTCCTTGGGCTGGAGAATTTAGTTACAAAAACTGCTCATCACCATAAACATGTCTGGGATATTATAGGGATGTGAGCCGCAAGAGGACAGACCCATTACGACCTTCTGTAAAACATAACATATCAGCATGGTACGTCCAAATGATCACAGGCAATTAAGAGCTTGGTGTTAGATTGCAAGAATCATGTCTAACAGCCCCACTGGGAAGTAAACCTTGCTCAGACAGCATGAAAAGACACACGTGTGCCCTGTAAATTACACTGAGTGGTATCGCAAGAGCTTATGCACATTGAACTGTGAGGAATGTACCACAGATCAAGGTAGAACTGTGTAATCTGCTGGCATGATGGATGACAAATTCTTAAATAGTGGCCATACCCAGATTTTTTTTAATTTTCTGTTCTGTTCTCATGCTGTTTTCAGGACATTTAGTGTTGAGTGTTTTGTAAAAAGACATTCCTCAAAGACTTGCCTGCAAGCCAGTGGTGCACAGCTTCCACGTTTCTTGAAAGAAAAACTGCAGTTACATTCAAGCTCATTGCATCTGTTGAATTCGTTTACAAAGAACTCCTCCTGCATGACATATGAGTGCAACAGAGATACCCCTGCTGCAAGAGCTGCTGTGTGAGCAAGATTACAGTAGCAAAGTGCAGCCTAATGTGTCAGAGAGGCAGTTTAATGTCCTATTATGGAAACCAGGGTCCTGACAACCAATAAACCATCCAGATGCAATTTGTCCTCTTGATGCTGTCGGTGGATAAATATACGCTGCTGCCTTCTTTCTTTTGTGGATCGGTCTCTTGAGGCTTGGCTTTTTCTGTTTTACATGTGATGTTAATACCATGTTTATTGGTATTTTAGGCTAGTGATTTAGTGTGTGTTTTTGCATCTCAGGCTGACAGTTCAAGAGTACTTGGATATTTATGACTGTTGAAGCTGTGGTTCTCTGATTGGGGTCTGTTGGGATCATGAAGTTATATGATATCAATAGTAAACAATGTTTGAACACTGTCTTAAACACTCGCCACAGTCAGTGCTGTCATTGCTGCTGCTTTTGTCATTGATGTCACACCAAATTATTTAATATGCTTCAGGCCCCGTCTTCTGGTCCCTGTAGCTATAAAGTTACAATTTGACCTTCTGTCATGTTTAAACTCCAGTCACAAGTGATTTGTAACTTTTAGCTGTCTAAAACACTTTGTTGCCAGAAGAAACATTATTTTTAAAAGTATTATTTAATCAGGAGTGTTGATGAAGAACACTTTCCTGTACAGTACTGGCTTTGTGGACTAGAGGGACCTCAGAGATCCCCAGTACAACCACATTCTCACACCGGTGGCCCCTGAGCTGTTCGGTAAATGTTTGTTCCTTCCTTGTGTGCCTTGACAGTATTAGTTAAAAGACTAACTCACTGACATCGCTGCCAAATGATGGTTGTGTGAATTGACAAAGGGTTTAGCCTTGGGAGAACTGTTTTAGATGCTATCTGTGTTTTATTTCAATTATATCAGGGATCACAGAGACTGCCAGTGTGATAACAAACCAGCTGACAGCTAATCCCTCAGGACAGGAAACGGGTTGTACAGCAGCTGATGTCGTCTAAGGTTAAACGTCCATTGCGATGAGCCATTCTTCAAAGGCAGACGCATCAAGCTATTGTTCCTCTCCCCTTTCAGTCATTAGTTTAAGGAGAAGATGAAAGTCTAGTTCATGACATCCTGACAGCCCCGTGGCTCTATATAACTCTCTTCAAAAAGCATAGAGGGAGGTAAGCAAGTAAGAATATAGAAAAAGAAAGATAGATATCAATGGATGCACACATACACGTGTTTCATGTCTGTGGTTCTTCTCTCAGCCTTGGTAGACATCACAAGAACAGCACAGTATGATGTAATACAGACTTCAACCCAGAGACATGTTAAATGCATGAGTCACTCATCAAAATTGAGATTCTAACCTCTGACACAGCAGCATATGTATATGAGAAAGATCTTACTCTCAATGGTCCCTTTTAAGGAGGGAGACATTGTCCGCTGGATATTATCCCCCTCACTGTGTTTAGTGGTAATGAATGGCAGCTAATGAACACTTCCTCTGCGGCGGGCTCCCCTTGACGCCCTATGCTCTAGCAGTCTGCCGGTGGCTGTCTGGGAGATGAGAGGAAAGGGATGAGGGGCGAAAGAGGGAGGGAAACAGAAGGAGAAAAGGACACAGCAGGAGGCTGTCGCACCTTGTACCAGCCCAGCACTGAGGTGGCAGCCCCTCAGTTTCAGAATGGACAGATCAGAGAGGACGATGTCGCAGAGAGAAGGAAGGCGCTCAGAAATAGGTTAAGCTGCTGTGTTGTTCTCAGTTGTGTGCATGGATTTGGATCCAAGCTTGGTCCACAGGTGTTTAATAGACCTTGCAGCGCACCTTTCGTTTCTCTTCAGTTTTACTAGTTAATATGACTTATGATAAGCTCTTTCATGTATCATTAACTGTTTTATGTTTTCATCTCACTATCTTTCAGCCACAGGGATCTGAAGCCGGAGAACCTGTTGCTAGATGAAAAGAACAACATCAGGATAGCAGACTTCGGCATGGCCTCCCTTCAAGTTGGAGATAGTCTGCTGGAAACCAGCTGTGGGTAAGTGCTATAGAAAACTTGTGTTGCGTGCTCTCTGATGCAAAGTCTGAAGATTGTGTAAGTATGAAGGTAAAAGTGGGTCATAGTTGGAGGGCACACAGAGTTGACAGTATGCAACAGCAACCGAGAGGAGAGTGGAGAAGCAACAGAGAATGATGAGTGGAGCTATCAAGGAACTCTGCTAGGTGCCGTGTTCTGAAAGCCTCCTTTATCGTGCTGTGTTGATCTCTTGAGGAGAGACATTTGGTGTCTCTCACAGAGTGTGCTATCTGGCTGTGAGCAGGGCCAGGGCCATGGCCACACATTACTGCTCTCCGTCTCCTCATATCCTACGCTGGGTTTTATGACCTGGCAGTCACAACAACGCCAGGCCCATCAATCCCGCAACGACCGTAATGAATTCACTTGCAGGAAAAGTCACTTTCAAAGTCTTTCAAGCGTGGTCGTCCATATTGTGGGAGTGTTTTTATTTAACCCTGAAGTGTAATGAACAGTGAGCAGGGTCACATTTGTCAATAAAAGAAGCAACACAGTTGATGATGGTTTACTTTTAGGTATCAGGTTCATAAAGTCAGTGGCAGCATGGATTAAAGGTCTAGTATCTAACATGTAGGAGGATCTATGGGCAGAAATGGAATATATTATGCATAACTATGTATTTGATAGTGTATTATAACCTGAATATATATGAATTGAATGAATGTGAAGTAATCCAGAAGGGACTAATCAAATACTGGCTCTAGATAGGGGCGTTCACAATTTTTGCATGTTTTGCAGGCACCCTAGTTTCTCCATCTGCTAGATGCCACTAAATCCTATGCAGTACTATCAAAAAGATTTCACTACTGGACAAAAAGAGTTTAATTTCACTCTTACCTGAAATTTACACTGGAAATTGTGTCAACATGTAGGCAACAATGACAGGTACACATGAAGCAAATCGTATATTGATTTTATGTTTTATATCTTTGTAGGTATAGTTCACAAAATAAAACACATATACAGTATAGCAAAAGAAAGAAAAATAAGCAAGAAATTAAATCGATTTGGGGCATAAAATAACACACATATTGACATGTGTCTCAGAGTTGGTGTGAGTTAATACATCTGTAGATTTAGAAAAAATTATGTGTTTAGTGAGATCGACAGATGACGGACATCTAAATCACTCCAGAAAAGGTTTCAAAAAGCCCCTTAGATGTACGGTCAACTAAGGGGCCAAGGGCTGTCTTTGCTGATTCCTGATGATCATGATTTCTTTGAGAGAATCTTTGCCCTGTGGTTACACATGACACTGCATGCAAGGCCGGGGAGATAGAGAAGACCTTGCGACATCTGTCCCCAGCTCAGACGTGATTCTGTCCAGATTATGCCTCCAAATCAGCCACAACTGAAATTACACACACTTGCATACACGTCATTCTGAAAACACACATGCACACACAGTGCTGGCAAGGCTTAGTTCATCCCTAACCTCTAAGACCCTTTGCTATTGCATAATTTTTTCAGCAGTAGCACAGTGCCTAAGCTCTCATGACTCATTGGTAGAGATCAGGCAAACTGAGAACAGTGTGCAATGCTATCTGCAAGTAAAATGTGTCCGATTGAGTCATTCTGCAGCCATGATGACCACACTGAAGTGTTTCCTTTTCCTAGAAAGGCCACAGAATGTGACAGCTCTTACTCAGCTTTGCAGTACTTTGCAGTAACCTGTAGTGCAACCATATCTAGCCTATATTTAATCAAATTCTGCTTCCATTCCGAACAATTCTGCTATGCGATCCAGGTGCAGTACATCTGCTTAGTCCCCCACATTACATTTACGAAGTGCTGAAGGTACTTGTTGCAGGTGGGACCACAGAGCTGTCTGACAGAGATGCAGGCACACATACCACAAACTCCCACACACAGTGAAGCAAAGTAGTTCTGTTTTCGTTCCACTCTCAGCTCCATCACCGCATCCTACCCTGTTTGTGTGCTTGTGTGTCTCACAGGAATGTGTGAGGACCATTTGTGCATGTGTGTCTCTGTGGCGTTGCCTAATTCGTGTGAATGTGCCATACACTTCATGTGTGGTTATTGATTATTCATGCTTTTCTGACTGTCCCATCTCTAAGTGTAGATATGACAGTTTTTAATTAAACGCATTTATCTGGCCCCCTCTCACCATGCAGCAGTCTGACACAAATGTATTCCATTTGCCACGGGTAATGGAGCTGAGTGAAGATGAGACTTGCCGCAGGTAGAGTAGGGGGAGCCTCGGAGCACATACATAAATACATGCAGACATACAGACATATAGATGAGCAGAGGCATTGACAAGCAAGTACAAATATGGATCCAAGAACGCGCATGCAACCTCTCTATCTGTCTGCATAAACCCAGCTGCGAGTTCATTAGTGCTTGCTGTTTGTTTAATGCTGTTGCTTTGATTGATGAAAGGAAATTATCTTGTATGCAGTGAGGAGACGCACAAATTTGGTTAAAAAAGATGAATTTTCTTAAATACGAGCTGCATGTCTCAGCGTCTCCTCAATAATGCTGGTCCGTACTGCTGATCCGTTCACTGCTCCATAGGTGCTCCTATCTCTTAAGCTCATGATATGATGTACTGTTTAGTGCAAGGGACATGGTAATCTGTTGGTAAACTTATAAAAGCTCTTTTGAACTTGTGGTCCAGACATCTCTCTGCAGGCAGTCTTGATAAGTGTGCAGCTTTATCATTTTTGTATCCACACTTCAGCAGTCTGGTTCAGTATAATCTTGGGTCCTTAACCAAATGCTTTTTCTTTCTTTATGCTGTCGGGCAAACCACTTACAGCAGCATTTTGGCTCACTATACTGCTATTTGTTGCCCTCAAAAGTTCTGTTCTGTGTGTTAATTTTATTTATGCGATGTTAGTGGTGTTAGGTTGGGAGAGTAAATGAGCTTTGGCAAATAGCAATAAAAGATTGATGTTATGTCAACCCATGCACAACTGTTCTTCAAAAGACTGCATTTTTCACACTGGTCAGAGGGAAGTGGCTTATACAGCTTTCTATTTATCTTTAGTATCCTCCTCTATAATCGGGCCTTCTGGTGTCAGCAGCAGGGGATTTTTTTGTTATCATGATATAAATTTCATGATGTATGGGCTTTGATACAGTATGTGGCCAAAGTTTAATGTGCTTAGCTAAGATACATTTGAATGACCTTTAGTTATACCTCAGATTAATACTTATTGCTCTAAATGAAGCTATTAAATGCAGGTAAAACTTAACAAGAAAGAAGGGTCATGAATACTCATGGATCCTCACCACATCGCAGTGCAGAAATTAAACAATTATGGAGTGTTTTAGTGTGGAAAATGTTCAAAACTGACACATGTGGACAAAAAAAGCCCTATAATGGTGTTTCAGACTGGAAAAGAGATTAGATCTAAGCATATACTGTAGATGATTTGGCTGACTGATTTAGGGTTTTAATATTGACAAATTAGTATTAGTATTCAGCTCAGGCAGAAAGCTGAGATTCTTGTGTTCCAGTCTTTACCTTCACCCTGTGTTTGCCACCTAAAGCCTCAGCAAATAATTAGTTTATATCCACGCTGGTTCCAGCTGTGGCTTGTGTGTAGTGGCACTCGAGGGGCATAACTAGTGCAAATCTCAGGCTTGTTTTTTATTTTTATTCTCCGCTCATCTGCATAATGCACTATGACACTTGCAATCAGGAAGGCTGTATTTGCATAGGCTCGTGTTTTGAACTTCACCGTTGACATGGTGGCAGTGTTTGTTATCGGCCAGTATTTTGACAGCCAGAGGAAGCCGTGCCGTCAGTGCTGTTATTCATGAGTACACAAGACAACAGCCGAGCTAATGGGCGCCATGTTTACAGACTTCAGATAGTCTCTCATTAGAGCCAAATGTTCTGGTATTAGATAAGACTGAGCAGGACACATCTCCAAGCTGAGAGGTTTGGGGAGACAGGTGCCTAATTTGCTTTCTGTGTGTAGTCACATGTCTGAGAAGACCAGAGCCCTGCCCAGTCTCAGAGAAACAAGGAAACATCCTGTAATGATAAGTTTATTATTATTTTTTTTTTTTTACAGATTGAAGTAAAAAGCATTTATTATTACCCTATTCTTCAAGGTACTGAATTCACCAAGTACTGCAACTGTGTATGTACAGAATAGAAGTCACTCAACAGCTGCTCCCCTCATCCATAGCTACTGGCTTATGGAGCAGCCCTTGCGAGGTAGCTCCATAAATCTTCATACAATATTGATGTGTCAATCTAGTCATTGGGTTTACTGTCAGCCCGTCCAGGTGCTGTAAAGATTAGTGTGTCTGTTCACTGTCTGCTGTAAGAGGATGCCCTTGAGTAAGCAAGCAGGAGGACATCCAAACACCCTCAGGATGTCTGAAATCCTCAAGCATATCTTGATCTATGCTCACTGGAAACAGTTGTCTGCCTAAATTGCTGTTTTCAAATTTTCAAAAAGTTGCGTATACATTTTTTATGTTTGTTGTGTCATGATTGTGTAACCCTGATTCACTTCTCAGTACAGTGGTACAAATGGAATAGTCCTTAGAAAACCTCTTTCTTTTTGTTACTTCTTCAATTAATTCACTCGTTGCACTTTTTCTATTCCCCCAACAGATCTCCACACTACGCCTGTCCAGAGGTCATCAGGGTAAGTCGTTTTTCACTGATTTATATTCCTTCATCTTATTTTAACCAACCCCTAACCAATAACAAACACTCTCTTGTCCTTAGGGAGAGAAGTATGACGGGAGGAAAGCAGACGTCTGGAGCTGTGGGGTCATTCTTTTTGCCCTATTGGTGGTGAGCGTCTGCTTGTTCTTTACTAACTGATGGTGACTGGACTGACATACAGTTTAAAATTCCCCAGAGAAGTATGGCATAATACAATTTAATCATAAAGTGTTGCCTTGCCATACGTCTAGCCTTTGTACCAGCTGTAATGGATCAAAAGTATAAAGCAAGTGCACCTTGTGACAGGACAATCACAACTTTGTAAAATGAGAAGATCTTGAAGCTGCCAAATCAAACAGAAGTCTCAGAGTTCAGGGAATTAAATTAAAAATCCTAACATTTAGTAGGTCTTACTGGAAAAATTTTGCAGAATGCCCCCAACGCTGATACTATTGCGTAATAGAAGATCAGAGAATAGAAGCATCTTTTTATTCATTATCCTGTATCCACACACAACCCTGTATCCATAATCAGGTCTATTCTCCAGCTATATTATGTCTGTGGTTCCCCAGCCGTGCAGCCCTGAAGCTTTGTTTCATCAACAGCTGTACTGTAGTTCCTACACACTCCTGCTCCATGAATAATTCATACAACCAAACTGAAAGAAGAGGGCCCAAAATAAATACTAACGCTGACAGGGCGGCTTTTGGCCACAGGCCCTGTTTATTTGTCTTTGTTTTTGCCTCTCTCTCCCTCACTCCCCTCTCTATCTGTCGCATATATGTGTGCGTGTGTGTGCACTTGTGTTAAGGACAGTCTCCGTTGTACTCTTGTGTTGCGTAAACCTGATGTTGTTTACCACTGTCTCCATCGTGACCACACTCTTGCTGCAAAACAAAAGTTTCTCCCCGTCGCTGTTTGACTGAAGATGAATACTGCCTTTCTCCTGTTTCTTCCTGCTGTCTGGCTGTGAGATTACCATTTGTCTGATTGTGGGAGACGCGCATACTCCCCAGCAGTTAGGCTGCACTCAGATCATCTGTTACACAAGCCTGCCCCCCCTTTTTTTTTTTTCTCTACCTCTTTCTTTCTGTCTTTCTCAGCCTTTTTGCTCTTTTTCTCCCCCTCCATCTTGTCTTCTTGTGGAGGTTGTCATTCATCAAACAGCCACATCTGTGAGGTGTCAGCTCGCTCTGATAAATGATTCTGATGAGAGAATGCTAAATGAACGAGGTAAATGAGAAAGCTGGGTAATTATTAGAAAAGCCCTGTTTTCAGCTTACTGCTGTTTATTATTTATTTTGCATCGTTGCTGAGGGCAGAATGCTCTAATTGGAAAGTTGAACAAGTTGAGAAAGCGAGCCTATTCTTTAAGTCGTGCAGGATTAAGACTCAAAATTTTGTTATCCTTTCTTCTGGCGAGTCTTGTTAGTCATTCATATTTTCTTTTTTTTTCCTGCCCTCGATGTGATGAAGGCTTATTTTCTGTTCTAATGCTGCTATTAAAACAAGTGCAAACTGTTTCTTCTCTACCTTTTCATTCCTACATCTACATCTTCTCCATTTTCCAATTTATTTTCCATTTTCTCACTGTCTGCTTCTTTCCTTTGTTGCTCCAGGGTGCCCTGCCGTTTGATGACGACAACCTGAGGAATCTGCTAGAGAAAGTGAAGCTGGGGGTGTTTCACATGCCACACTTCATCCCTCCAGACTGTCAGAACCTCCTCCGTGGCATGATTGAAGTGGATGCCTCCAAAAGACTAACGGTCAGTTCAATTAAGGGACTGGGTGATAACACACCATTATGATTATGTTCATATGCTTTTTGTGCTTTTGGTCTTGGTCTGGAGCTTGGCCCCTTCATTCTTATTGCAAAAGGAAATCTTCATGCTACAACATTCAATTATATTTTATACAATAGCTTTCAACTTTAGGGCAGCAATTATAATATAATAATAACAGTAATAATGATTTTTTTAAGTTTGGAGTTAAAGAACTTGACCTGGCTAAGTTGGAGCAAAATCCTTCAGCCAGGTTTCAAAGTCTTGCAGTAAACCTTCCCAAAAGAGTGTAGGGTGATCCAGCAGTACAGGGGAGGTAACTATATAATGTATGTATAATAATGTATAATAATGTTCATGGTCTTAGAAGGAAGGCCACACCCTTATGTGATTGACAGCCATGTGTGGGTGTAAAGCACATATATCTCTAAGGGTAGGTATATTGCCTTCACACCCGTGTTAGCACACAAATGCTTAATTATCATGAGCCTCTGCAGTATATGTTGTTGTTCTTTAGCAGTATGCATGATGTGTTTCTATACTACATGAATGGTACAAAGTACTCTTTGCACCTCGTTATGCACAATCCGTACATTCTCAGTGACTCAATAAAACATGAATTCTATCTGCATTGAATGTTTTATATTCATAGTCCACGACTAGTAGTGTTTACTAATGATGTTGTAGAAGCAGCCAAACACATTTCGTTATTATTTTAGACGGCATTCATGAGGGAAAGAAACCCAGACACATCAGGTCTTTGTTAAGAGAGGAGAATCATTATTTTGCAGATTCACAGCAAGCTGGGAAAACTTGTAATGCTCTAAGGAGACAGTAAGATGGCAGAGATACACATTCAAACTAAAGTGGCTAATATCAACGTGATGCTGCCAAGCCAACCATTGTCTTTTTCTTTGTTTCTTCTTTCCTCCCTTGTGTTCCAAATGTGTTTGTCTCGACTCATCCCCAATTCTGTTTGAGTTCTTCCTCAAGTACAGGTTGTGAATTCAGGAGAGGACTGCTGTTTGTGTACTCTCCCTCTGCACTGTTTAGTGTACTCATCACAATGCCAGTCCCTTTCTACACAGCAACCAATCACCTTGGCAAGGTAGCTGGAGGAGAGTGTGAGAACAGAGAGATGTGAAGGACAGAATGTCAGCATGAGAGGGAGAGAGAGACAGGTGGACAAAGGGAAATGTAAATAATGAAAGTGGCCAGGGATCTCAAAAAGTACAAACTTCACAGAGAGATCGCGCTGCTCTTTATTTTTATCCTATACAAAAAAGAAGATAGATACTTTAATAATACAGACATGGTCACAAGTTACTGTATCTGCATGCACACAAAATAAAAACTTACATTTTCACACACTTATACTGTGTGTATACACCTCCAGGCTATCTAGGTATCTTTGTGAATCAATGGAGTAAACAAAACTCAGTGTCACTCAGTGTTTTCAGGGTCAAAATGACTTTTACTAGTAGAAATGCTAATTTGCAGAGACTTGACAACTTTGAAGGTAAAGCCCTTTAGATGATCAGCATCATTGAAACATGAACTGGAAAGACCCCCCCCTCTTTGGTATGCTGTATGTACACTATATGCTTTAATTTTCTGTCCTCTCTGCGTGACGAGGACGGGTCACCCTGAGATCTCCTAGATATGTCCACCAGCCTCCAGCGCTGTCCTCGACAAAAGGGTTACACACAGGCCGAGCTGCTGGGAGAAAATATGCTACCTCTCCGCCCCCCTCCTGCGCATGAGGGCTCCAAACAGAGCTCTGGGGATGTGTTGTAACCTCACAGAATGTCAAATAGCCCTGTAAGATTAAGCATTCTTGGAATTTAGTAGCCCAGTCGGAGATGACACATGCACCCAAGGGTGGGAATGACATCATAAGGGAACACGTTGGATGATTATATTTCATAATACCGTTGGCGGTAGTTCAAATCGATTATCGAGTAATCCGACCACAACTACAGGCTGTATTTATGTCTATTTTCGCCTTCTCAATTAGATTTTGTTGCTGCATGCACACAAGTACACACACAAAGCCAAGGCCTCAGAGTCCGAGTGGGAGGGCATGTACCCGGGCTCAAGGGGCTTAGCCCAATAAAAGCCTTTCTCTTCATTTCCTGTCTGTGTAGTCAGGGCCCCGCAGATGACTGGGCCAGCCACCTCGACACAGTCATTTCATCTTCCATATTCAGATGAACACAGACAACCTGGAAAGATCCCTCCCTGTGATCCCTGGATGATGAAGAGGATTGGCTAGCTTTTTATATTATAGAACAGTTCATCACAGACAAATAAAGCATTCATGGGAATTGCGACGAAGTATCATAGTCGATGAGTATAAAGGAAGTGTGTGTGTGTTTGTGTGCCATAAATGTGAAATAAAACTTATTGAATAATAATAAGAAATGACAGTGTAGTTAATCATGTGAATTCCATCAGAGTCAGAATGTGCAGAGGCAGCAGTTTCTGCAACTCTGCTAAGCTAGGCTACTTCAGGGTGAGCGTCACCATATTTACTCCTAAACCGGGACATGTTAAATGCCTATTCGAGCACTGAAAACATGTATTCTACGGTAATTATTATTTTAATTGTGGTGAAAACCGGGACAATTTGGTGGTGAATGTTGAAAACTGGGACGTTTGCCGGGACTGGGGACACCCAGTTGAAACGGGGACAATCGAAGACCAACTGGAACGTCTTGTCGCTTTAAGCAGAATGTGTTTATCTGGTGTTTTATCTTTTTTCTTTTCATTATTAGATTCTGCTACTGCTATTTTATGTGGTATAACCAACTCACTTTCTAAGATGTTGGAGCAATTACAGAAAAGTGGGTAAATGAGTTTTAGCTAAGGCTCACCTTAACCTAGCCTTAACTAGCTGGTTAGTTTTTTACTTCTGTTTTGTAGTTCTTTAAATGCTGTTTTCCCCCAAATTACACATTTCTATGGCAATGGTTAATTTCTATATGGTAAAAAAGATGTCAAAAAGTCATATTCTTAGTTCTTTTCTTTTTTTTTTCTTTTTTACACCAAATATATAGTTAGTGTTTCGGCTTTGTATGGCAGAATAGATCCCCATAGCTCCACCCTCCTTGCTTTAATACAGCCATATGATTGAGACATGCATACACATGGGGACATACATATATGTAAATACTGTACATGTTGCATTTAAGTAAATTTATGCAGCCCCGAGATGAAAACATACGTGAACGCACACTCATACACACACCTAGCCAAACCAGCATTACAGCGGCATTCCCCTCTGCCTGAGTGAAAGCAGCTGGAATTGGTACTGTCACATTTAGAGACTGATTGATGTGATACTGCATTTCAAACCACATCACTTTCAAGCCCGCGTGTGATATCAGTCTCTTGCCTCCAGGCCTCCAATAAAAGTGGGAGAGAGTAGGTCACCCACTGGCCTGTATTTGACAGGCAGGGTGTCTCTGTCAATACCATGACCTCTGTGGAGGCAGACAAGATTCACCTATAGTCTGGCTAGCTCTGTAATTGAACTGGTATCACATGAAGGCATTCATCAGTGCTGAAACACAGAGGTAAATCCTCTGGGATTGTGGAGACACTGACACATTGATATAGGCACATACCCAACAACCATACCTCTGAATAAGTGAACATAATTAAAGCATCTTCTGTGGTTCCACAACAACTGCAGGAGCACATTAAAAAGTCCCAGCAGACATTTGATCCAGTTTTCCTCTGTGGGCAGTTGAAACACTGTGAAGTCATTCAAACAGACATCTTCCTTTGTTGCTCTTTTTCTAACTGTTTCTTTCTCTTTCTGCTTTTCCTTTCTTGGTAAAAGACCATGTTGACAGCGTTTGTGACAAAGTGGCCACATTAAAAGTGCGGTGACAAGAGTAGTATTGAGAGAGGGAGTGTGTGTTTGTGTGAGTAAGAGAGATGAGAAGAGAATGAGAATGGGAGGTTCCCTTTAGACCAGAGGGCTTGGCAGGGTCAGCAGTGTGTGTGAGGGAGATAATATTCTCTGTATATAGCACAGTGGTGTCATCTCTCTCTCCTGCTGCACCTCTCTCTACCTTACTCTTTTCCTCAATAAGTTTTTCCCATAAGCAGTATTAATATTTGAAGGCCTCATTATTTGTTTCCAGCGTTCAACCTGCCTGTATTGTCCTATTGTGTTTCCATTAAGCCAGTAAGCTCAGCACATAATGCACCAAACGTGTCTATACACCGGCAAATTCACCTTTTTCCTCAGTTATTATTTCCTTAGCACCAAAAATGTTATTAAATTATTCAAATCAAATGCATTGCGTTGCTTGTGTACTAACCTGCCGTTTTTTCTGTCGTCTTTTACAGTTAGAACAGATCCAGAAACACACATGGTACATGTAAGTACTCCCCCGTCTTTCCTTTTTATAACCTCCACTCCTCTTCTCTCCTCTCTTAGCCTATTCTGCAGGGGTTGTAGACCTGAGGGGAGCAACCACATGATAAATGGCTTTGAGTTTCTGCCCTGTACACAAGAGTACATTTGAGCAGGGCAAGACTCCACTCTTGGGGATGTGGGGGTAAATTGGTAGTGCATGAAAGAGGATGTGCAGCATATGGTCAACTGAACAGGGGGCAGGGGAGAGGGAACAAGCAGGGATGTCGAGGATGAACCCACCTAACCCCAGTGTACCCATAGTTTAACTTTCATAACAAAACATAAATCTTTCAAGAAAATTTGTGTTTCAGGTCATCGTAAATTATGTTGATGTATGTTATGAGTTCATTTATATGTTGTTTTTTTTAATGGGGAACAAAAGCATGACCAGATGTTTGGTTTTTAAATGATGATTAATGATTGTAAAGGATGTTACCCCTATTATCGGAATTACTGTTTCTTACTCTGCAAGAGCAAAGATAATTCATAGGACGAGGTTGTAAGCCCTGGAAGGGGTTGAGTTATGGTTTCTGCCACGTACTGAAAGATCAAACAAACAGACAGTGAGACAGATAAGAAAAACAAGAGGAGACAAGAGAAGAGCTGGGAGGGAAGACTAATGTAATGTGAGTCAGTGAGGAAGTTGCCTGGCTGTCTGCCTGTGCATGGCCAAGTGTCTGGCTGAATGAATGCATGAATGAATGAATGAATGAATTAATGAATGAATGAATGAATTAATTAATTAATGAGCATGAGGACCTAATAAACTGGCAACTGAGTATAGTTTTAAGTGGGCGACACTTAAGATCAGTGGGGAATAGTAGAGGAGGGTTGTGAATTTCTGTATCACAGTCTGTGTGTATTGGCACAGAAGAAAGAAGAAATCTAAGATGAATCTGTTCTTTGAAACAGACATCTAGATCATCCAGAAATCCTCCAGAAAATGGTGTCAGTGTGGATTAGCCTTTTCATTTCAAATCCCCTTGTGTGCTCCCTAGATTCAGACAGACAAAAGAGATAAAAGTGACATAACTAGGAGAGTGTCTGGAAAGAAAGACAGAATAATGAAGAAACTAAGTTTGGGAAATAAGCCAGGAGGAGAGAGGGAGATTGCAAAACTCAACAGCATGACTCAGTCGTCTGTCTGCATCTTGGCGAGCATGATGACCCAGGTTCACCCTCTGAAGCTTACATGCAAAATGACTAAACCTGGGGAAAATACGTGACTAGGAAAGTTTCATAATGTGAACCAGGGTCATAATGAGGCAAATGTCCCAGATGCCCCAGATGCCCCATACGACCAAGAGGCAAACAAACACTGAAATGCTTCACATACATATTCTGTTTACAGTACTCAAGTACTTCAATCTTTATATAAGCTATATGAAAACATTTCAATGTATTTAAACTTACTTAATTACATTTGCAGGGACCAAATGGGTCACCGTGTCATTATTTGTCTTGCCATTTCTTTGCATCCACAGAGGGGGGAAGAACGAACCAGAGCCTGAGCAGCCTGTGCCCAGGAAGGTGACCATTCGCAGCCTGCCCTCTGCAGACGACATCGACCCAGACGTACTGGACAGCATGCACTCCCTGGGCTGCTTCAGAGACAAAAACAAACTGCTGAAAGACCTGCTCTCAGATGAGTGAGTGAATGGAGGGACAAACGGGAGGGATGGGGAAGAGAAAAAGCAGGGATGAAGAGGAATGGTGGTGTGGTTCAGTAGATGAAAAGGTGCGAGTGAGAAGAGAAAAATATAGTAGGAAAAAAGGTGAAAGTGTGTTGAAAAATGGAAAAAAATAAAAGCTGAAGACATAGAGAAGAGGGGCTGTGTGGTGGTACTGCAATGGAAAGGATGGGAGTGTTGTGTCTGTGTGCACAGACGGCCTTGGTTTGGCCCAGGCTCTTATGAAATCCTGTGAGGCTGTCACTTTAGATGTCAGAAGCTATAGATCACTTAACTGTTATCAAACAGCGCTTACACCGCTTGCCACTGGATACATTCCCCCCAAACTGATCCTGGTCTGCAGGATACAAACAAGCTCCTGGGTCACATTGTTTATGTTCTGCTACTAATGTTTGTGTCTCAGTTACACATGTGTCCCTGTGAATATGCATTTATGCTGAGGATACTCACTCTGCAGTCTCTCATACACTTGGTTTGTATTAATGTGGGCATACGCATGTTTTTTTGTTTCACTTTGCTTTGCTGTTCAATCTCCTTTCCCTCTATTTTACATTTGCCTGGCCTCTATAATTTAATACTAAACGAGAATTACTCGATCACTTTCCTTTCTCCCCATCGCTTCCGTTTTCTTCCTTTCTCCTGGGAGCATCCTGTAATAGTGCTGGACTAGAGGAAAATCTGCAGTCTCTATCTCCCTTCCCCTCGTTCATTTTAGCTGAAGTTGCAGGTCCTTGTCTCTTTGCCTCCTACTGCTTTCCAATCTGTCTTTATTATGGAGGGCCAATCCCTGGGCCTTTTGAATAGAGGGTATTGGCCCAGAGGCTAAAGATATTAGGCTTCCTGATTTACAGAGAAAGGAAAGGCCGAACTCATAATGTTTTGATACTTTCATAAACTTACCAGTAGACCCCGCATGAGGAGAAAAAACATATGCAGAATATTATATGATTGCTTAATGACCTGTAAAACTAAACTTTTGTTTTAATGATGGAAGCTATTTAGTAGCTGTTTCACAATGAACCCAAAGAGATTAAAGGACATTAATCATAGTGAGGGTTTCTGCATTTTAATGTCTTGGTTTTAAGCTCTTGTAAATGCTGATGTGCGTATGCACATGAATGCTCACTAATCTATACTTGTGTATGTATTTGGAGTGACTCAGTTTGGTTTAAAACCATTGTATGTCTTTCCTAGAAGTCTCAGTATCCTTTTTATTGTCTCCTCCCTGCAGTGACAACCAAGAAAAGATGATCTACTTCCTGTTACTGGACCGTAAGGAAAGGTACCCCAGTCAGGAGGACCAGAACCTTCCCCCTCGTAACGAGATTGGTGAGACTCGGACCAAAGAGACAATTGCAGATAAAGAATGGAACCTAAGATATGATATAAAAAAAAAAACACTACAGAAAAGAGCATAACAGAAACAATCAGGAATAAATCTGTAAACACAGCATGGCACACAGTATATCTGAACAATACTACTATCTGGCTAACTTTAAATCATTGAATAAACAGCTGTTTACTCTGTAAAACAAACAATTTAGACAGGAACACATACTGCAGGAAGGTAACTCATGAATGCTCCGAGTGTCTGAACAGTTTTTTCTTCCCTCAGAAGAAATTGGATCAGCTCCAGTAGACTTGGTCTGGCTCTCCTGTAGAAAATGCTTTCTGTTTATGAAATATAGACAAGCTTCTCAATGAAATATAGTAGCAAAAATAGAAGGTGTCAATAGGCCAGAGAAAAACTGTCAGCTCTGACTGCTTCGGATCGGATATTAACACATCAAAAAAACAAAAAAAGGTATTCTCCCATTCGTGCAGCACAACCCAGCACAGATTTCCACCCACAGAAATCTGAGCTGAAACAAAGATGCTCTGCTAGAGCTTCTGCGAGAGACTTCTGCCAGAGTTATTTTGTGACAAGAGAACCGCAATAGGTGGGGGTATTGTGTGCAAATGTGTGAGTGTGTATGCTGTGAGATACCGACATTTTGATGAATAGACTCCCTCTTCAGTGAATGTGATACAGTCAATACAGTGGCCATTAGTTCAAGGTCTGGGAGGAAACCATTACTTACTCACTATTAGTTAAAATGTCGATGGGATCAGCACTAAACATCACTCAAACGCTCACACATATGCACGCAATGCTCGAAAACCACTCAATGTGAAGAAATACACACATTAACACGTAAGATGTCAGGTGCATTGTGTTGATTCTGAATCGATATGTCAGATCCTCCAAGGAAGCGGGTGGATTCTCCCATGTTGAACCGTCATGGCAAGAGGAGACCAGAGAGGAAGTCCATGGAGGTCCTCAGTGTCACAGACGGAGGGTCACCTGTACCGGCCAGGAGGGCCATCGACATGACGCAGCATGGACAGAGGTACGCATGGAGGTGAAATGAAAAACTTTAAAAAATCAATACAATTTTCAAATGAACAGATAGAAACATACATAGCTCTGTGTGTGGGTTTCTGTATATGTGGAGGATCTTGCAGCTCAGTGGTGTTTCAGCAGGTCTGACAGTGAGTCTGGCTCTGGGCGTCAGCAGGCTAGATTGTGGACAAACATAAACAGAGACTGACGCTCTGCTCGCTTTGTCTCCTGTCTCACTGTAGTAAATCAGTGTACAGTAAAAGCTTGGATATTCCTGATGCCAGTACAAAATGCAGCAAAGACGAAAGGTATTCACTTGGCCTTTTCACCTCCTCTCGCTCCGTGTCTCACACCCATGCCAAGGGGATTTCCATGGCAGGAGAAAGATGCAGCGGTGCTTTCTGTTAAAAGAATGTTTTATTTAAATGGAGATTACACGTCAGCATTTGGCTGCTTCAGAAGTGTATTTTAATACGCTATAAATCATCTGAAAAATTAAAGAAGCCGGGTCCAACAGAGTCAACAGTCTTGGGGTGGTAGTTCCTAAAGTTTGACTTAACTCTCTTAATTAACTTAATTTTTAAACTGAGGAAGACATTCAACACATTTGCAATTCAGAGCCTTAATGTCTGCAAACCTCCCTTTTCCGGTGCTGCTCAATTATCTCTTCTTTTCATAATCTGAATGCATTGATAATCAGTTCTCCCATACTGTGTCCCACTTTCTCCGGATGCAGAACATTTCTCCATTTCTCTATTTTAGAAATGTTCTAGTCAAGCCAGAACCACACCCCCACAAGGCACAGCGGACTGATTTAAAATCTATTTCCTCATCTTATTTCAACAACCAATATATCATCACACCACACATTTCTGCTCAGAGGCAGTGACATTTGTGACAGCGGGGAAGATTGAATCTGAGGGGGGTGATAACCTGATCTGCCTAATGATAGGCAGATTGGCAGAGAGCAGGAAAAAGCTTTCAGAGGTATGGGACATAAATGCAGTGGCAGTGAGTGCATATATTATGTAGATAAAAAAAATATAGTTATAAAGTTGAATATTCATTCAAATGTCAGATGCATTAATAACTCCTCACCATAGTGCTTTGTCGACAACTAAATGTTATATTATGAATATATTTCCCACTTCATTTCACTGGGGGAAGCCACATCAGAAGTTTATCCATTTCAAGAGCTCCCACCTCTAAACACTTCTGCTTATTCTTTGTGTCCTCTGGTGCCTCTGAATTTCAGTTTAAGGATTTGTCTTCTTGTGTTTCATCGCCTCTACTCCCCATCTTCATCCCTTCAGGCGGTCCAAGTCTTATCTCTTCTTAATTTAGAGGTTGCATTAGTTTAGAAACTGTCTTCTTCTGCCCTTCACTCTGACTCATCTGTTTCAGTCAAGCCTAGAATCCCAAAATAGGGCACTTTGCATTGACTTTATAGAGCATTAATAATGCTTTAATAAACAGCATCAACACCAGTTCATAAATCCAACACAACTGAATGGCATATAAAGGGTATAAAGGGCACTGAAATTAGTCTTTTGAACCATTATTTAGCAGTGTATGAAATAGGTTTGTGTCTGGATCCTACACATATCAGCAGCCGCAATCATTAAAAAAAAGCTCCGCTGCATCTTTCTTCCGTGCTACTTTAAATCAGTGTGTTTGTTCTTACCCCTCCACCCAAATCTCTTTCAGGGGCTCCTCCCTACCCTTTCATATCCCCTTTCTCTCTCTCTTTCTACTGTGGTCCCTTGTGTGCAACTGACCTTCAGTCCCAAACGCCCCCCTCTGTTTGTATGGAATTGCTATGCTAATGTGGAAATGCTGCTAGTTTTTCTCTGTCTGGCTTCCTATCAGCTGTAGTGGGTTGGAGGTGGGGGGGGGAGTCCAATATCGCAGCCCCTCCGCCTCCAAATCAAATCAAATCTCTCTATCGCTATACGTCTCTTTTCCCCCCACTGCAATTCATAGCTCTCCGACAGTGGGGGGAAAAAGATGTTGGTAGCAAAGTCTCTGTGAATCTGGATTTTGTTGTGTTTTTGAACTTTTTTCCGCCTTTTATCACGTCCTTGTGTGCGCTTTGTTTGATCATGTGCTTGCTTCTGTGTGTACATAGACGATGGTGTTGGGCAAGCACATACGTAAGCAGAATAACGTCCAAAGATTTGACTGACTTTCTCTGAACCTAACCTTATCTTTCCCCGACAGCAAACTTTTGTCGACAGCACAGAAGATTCGTAGAACTTCAGATCAGAGGGTGTCAGAGAGAGGACTGACTTTGAAACATGTGTTTTGACAGGATACATTTTCACCAGCGTAAATGGTGGAAGAGAGGGGAAATGGTTTATATCTAAAATTACACAACAAAAATGCCTCACTCCTTATCCAGCATTTTCCCTCAGATATCTCATGTAGGCAGTTAAAATCCGCTCAACTTCCCGGGCTGCATTTTCATACATGTGATTGTTGATTTGTCTGATGTATAATTGAATAGATTTGGGATAAATGTGCAGTAGCCATGTTGCAGAAAAAGTCCCAGCAGACATTCTCATGTGAATGCCCATTTCATTTTTTATATACCTAAAAGGATCTTAAAAAGACATTTAAAGCCTAACTCAAAGAACTCAACAAGAAATCCCACTGATTTAATTTTAAATCTTAACAACATGCCAAGAGAAATGAAGGGAGGTTAATGATATGTAAATGAAATATGGAAAAGTGCTGCAGTGTGAAGAAGAGAATATCAATTGATTTTTTTTTTCTTTACAGATCTGCTCTAGTTGCTTCTTGCAGTTTAAATGTGTTGGGTTAGTCAAAGCAGTCTTAATAAGTCAGACTCTCATGCTAATTATTGACTCTAATTTATTTAAGAGGCTCAAATGAGCACAAATAAAGCACCTTCAACACTGATCTTTACAGCAGAAACTGCAGGGTTCTTACTACATTTAGAAAATTGAGGAGCTGAGCTGTGAATATTAATGCACTCTGTCCTCTGGGAGTTGTCAGGGTTCAGGAAAGGAAATGAATTTAAACAGTGTGTTGATTTATATGAATATCTCCTCCACGTAGAAGAACTCCATTGGCAGAACAAAGTCAATATAGAGGAGGGATGGAGAGAGTGAAAAAATTAACTTTCTCCTCTTAAATCACACTAGCAGAGCAGTAGCATTTTGTTTTGGCTGTGACAGTGTTATTGGTCCACTGTTTGACTCCTGGCACCATCCATTTCATTTTGCCTCACTTTCGTTTTATTTCAGTCCATGCCCTCATCCCAGAACCTCTTGTACTTGTTCCATCCCCCACAGCCCAGCATTAGACCCCCAAGGGTGCTTTGGATGGGTCTGTGACACAGCCAGTGTTCACACACTGAGGATATGGGTCCTGTTCCAAAACAGGCTTATGGGATATGTTAGCTTGAGGACTAATGGATAATAGAAAGACAAGAATGGGAAAACATACACATACACATACAGGACACACATACACCATTGCAGACACTGAGGTGCAACTACCGTCACGCTTCTGAGCCAAAAAGTCTAATTTACCTCCAGTAGTGTCCACCAGTGCAGATAGTTTTGATTTTATTTGTCCAGGTGAGATATCCCTGTATGAGATGAGATAAATGGAATTTTATTTGTGATCCTCTCCAGTGGTGGCGAAGAAGAATTCAAATCCTTTACTTAAGTGACAGTTGCAGTACCGCAATGTAAAAATATTCGATTTGTTTGTCTCTCAACTCAGACAAATAAAACCAAAACTTTGTATGACTAAATACTACTAGAGAACATGTTTTGTTTTGTAATTATGGTGAACTGGCCCTTTTTAAAGCAAGCAAACGCGCGCACACACACACAGCTTAGCTGTCTTAGCATCTCCTTTCCTACTGAGTTAATAACCCAGTGTCTTTGTTTCTATACGATAGATGACAAATGATTGCTTACTGTAGTTGTGTATGCTGTTAACTCTAAATAAAACACTCAACAATAATTCATCGTCTCTCCGAAGCAAGGGTGAGGCTCTGACAGCCCATTACTGTACAGCATAACCATCTGTAACATTAGCTTTATAGACCTGCTGGTCCAACACTAACAGATGCAGAGTGCCTCTAACAATATGCTCATAATGGCCTGAGGACGCTGTGTTTTGGCCATGTTTAGATGAAGTGCAATTGGCTATGTGCACACAGGCGCTGTAGTGAGCAACTGTGTGCCTGTCTCAGTGGACCATAAGACTTAAATGTAAATGATAGCAACTGTCTGGTCAGCTGCTCCCTGAAACAAGAACTCATAGCCAACGTGGTCTCAACATCGCCTACTCATGTGTGCATGAGTGTGTGCAGTAAATCCACTCACAGAAGGGGCAGTGAGAGAATTACGAAAATAGCTTGAGTGTGGGTGTTCATATATTTCCCTCTCTCTCGTGGTAGCTGTTAGTGTTGCTTCTCTTCTGCTCTGTTTGCATGTTGGTGCCTCTCAGGTGAAAGATTCCTGTTGTAGTATCAGTACTTTCTTTAGGTGGTTGTAAATTAAAATCTACATTTAGAAGATTGATACATACAGATCTTAACCAAGGCTTGTTATTATGAGAGCACCAGTATCATTTTCATGGCTACTAGCTGTAACCGGGTACACAGTTTTGTGTCCATGTATGGAGGCCTCTACAGCCCCGTGGGACTGCTCCAGCATTGGAATGAACATCAGTCTCCATTACTCCATCACTCCCTCCAATCCTTCATTCTTCCATCCCTCCCTCATTTCACCATCACTCTAAACTCCCTCATTCCACCATCATATTTGTCCGTGAGGTCTTCCTCTACAACCGAGCAACCTGAAAAAACACTAGTTGTAGTGTTCGTCTCCTCATCTTTTCAAAGGGAGACAAAAGATCTGTAGAGTCGGCCACATGTTCACAAATGCATCAGTGGGGAGAGACAAAGTGAGAGAGAGAAGTGTGTGTGTGTGTGTGTGTGTGTGTGTGTGTGTGTGTGTGTGTGTGTGTGTGTGTGTGTGTGTGTGTGTGTGTGTGTGTGTGTGTGTGTGTGTGTGTGTGTGGAGAGTGGAGAGTGGAGAGTGGGGTGGGGGGGTATTAATAGATTGAATGACAAAAAGGAGCAGTGTTGTGACAGTGAGCAGCTGGTGTTTCCGAGTGTTGACAAGCCCTGTTTTTTATGTGTTAGTGTGTGTGTGTGCGTGTGCTTGATGGAGACAGATTGTCCTGTGATTGTTCATTTCTGAGCAGGGCTCTGCTCATAGAGGTTATTGACGGCATCTGCAGGGGGAAAAGAAAAAACATGACAAATGGCACTCAACCAAATGTCCCACTCCATTTCCCCCCTCAAGATATTTTCTACTGATCCAGTGAAAGAGCCTAAAAGTCAACATGTTCGGTTTATTAGCAAACTATAGACTTGGTGGAAAGCTAATTTGAATGCTAATCTATAGAAAGGAGCCTATAGATTTGCAGGAGAAGTTGCAGTCAAGTCAACATATTTGAAACCGAAGTTTGAGCTTAATTGGTCTTAGACTAATTGCTGGGAGTCAATGCTAGTAATGTTTGCTGTCAAGTCAGTGCTTTTACTGTGTTGTAATGCTTTTACCCTCTTTGTGTGAGTAGATGTTGTGTTTGCAAAGGGCTTGATAGCAACCAATGTGCTTAGTATGATGGTAACATATGCTGTAGTGCTTTCTAACTGTGTGCAACATGTAACCTCCACGCTTTCACCTCCACCTGTGTTTACTGAAACATGTAACGGGTACACATGTTGATCCCTCAAATTATCTCTGCCCCTGTGTGTGTTCTTGCGTGTTTGTGCCACAGGTCGCGGTCTATTAGTGGAGCCTCCTCTGGCCTCTCCACCAGCCCCCTCAGCAGCCCACGGGTAAGTCACGACCCTACGTGCACTTTCAAACACACACACACACACACACACACACACACACACACACACACACACACACACATACATACAACACACACCTCTTGACCCAGTTCTCAGGTACTGTATGTAGTTGTTCGCCTTCGGGGATAACAACCATCCAACGGCTGCTGATCCCATCTTATTGCTGTCATCTTATTGCTGTTTATGTCCACTAGAGAAAATAAAGACAGTCACTACAGCTACATTGCTGGGGCTCCTGACCTTTAACAAAGCTCACGCACTATGAAAGCAATATCTCTGTATCTCTCTGCCCATGCAATATTGAGCTCTATTGTTCCGTTTTATTATTAGTCTGAGATATAGTATATTTTGCTATCCCTTTTTTAAGTTTTAATCCACAGTTCAGATCTACCTTTTGCGTTTTGAGCAAGCAGGGATCCACTATGATGAGCTCTTCCTATCCGGTATTAGATCAGACTTTACATGAGTCGTCACTGTGTCCATAAAGTCCGATATTTCTGTTAACTCCAAGAAAAACATGCTGATGAACTTTCAAAGGGTACGTGACAGCACAGCAAATTTTCTCTTCCCCTAAAGCCTCTTCTCTCACCATCCTTTCTGCTTATTATCCCCTCTCTCTGTTTTCTGTGGCCTGAGCTCTGTGAAAATCCAGCTCAGGGAATGCTTCAGAAAATCCCACTTTTCTTGCTCAGAGCTGGGGAGCTTGTAGTAAACTTTTCCAGCTGACTAACCTGAGAAGGCTTGAGATTAGCCAGGATCCTAAAACGAGCTCCTCGCGCCACACAGGTTCTTTCAGGCTGATCTGAAAGGGAAATTGATTTCTCAGACCTACCCAAAGCCTGGATTGTGCTCTCAGCAAGAGGCTCTGTGAGGGGTTATTTTCTCTGATTTGTGTCTGGAAAAAGGGGAGGCGTCCAAGGGAAATAGTTTATCAGCGCACCATTGTGGCTGCAATTTCACCATTACAAATTAAACAGATCAATTAACCTATCGGGAAACTGGAGGTTTTACAGCAGAGATATAATAATAGTCCCTCTTGTTATTGAGACAGCCCTGTTCTCGTCACAGCTGGCCTTATGTCTCACACCTGCCTGTGTCTGCTTGGTTTATGTTTTATTCAAGTGAAGTCCATATTTCTTCATGTGTTTTGCTTTTAAACTGCTTGCTATGTTTGTTGTTTTCATTTCATTTTGATGTTTTATTTTGACATGAGTCACTGAATGGTCTAACTGCATGTTTCTTTTCTTTTCTGTCTTTCTGTTTTTGCAATGCCTCCATCTCTCCCGTGTATGTACACATCTCACCTGCTTCTATATTCTTTGGCTGTCCTCTGCTTCTGGCTGTTTGGTTGTTTGATCTGCCGCACTTTTTCCCTTGCTTTTTCTGTGTGTTTGTGTGCCTGCATGTGTCCCCATGTGTTTTTCTTTGTTTTCTTCTCACCCTCCACCTGCTTTGGCTCTTGGCTGTATTGTGCTGCACGTCCTCACACTGTGTTTTCTAACTCCAGCCTGTCAGGAAGTTCTGTGTACCACCTCAGTCTCCAGACTTGTTGCAGTCCCCTAACACAAGCCCCTGCCCATCCCCTGAGCCCATTCCTAATCGCACGGGCCCCCGTATCTCCACCCCTAACTCACTCGCTCCGAACAGTGAGCCCCTGCCAGCAGCACTCAACAAGACGCAGACACTCCCCGCCAAGCCTAAAGTTGTACCCAAGCCCCTCCAAGCCACACGATCTAACCCGCTCCCCGAACTCTCCCCAGACCCAGCATCTGCAGCCAATTCAAAGTCCTCCACTCCTTGCCAGCTCCCATTGCAGCCACCCTCAGCCTCTGTGCCCCCCACCCCTACTTCTCCGTCCTCCCCATCCTCACCTTTTTCCCCATCCCCCATCCCCAGTGCTTCTATTCCAAACAGCCCCCAGGTACGGCGCTCCCACTTTTCTGCCAACCCCCAACTCTCTGTGCCCTTCAGCCCAGTGGTGCCCCTGTCGCCCATCCGGCTGCACCACTTTCACCCTGTGGCGCCGGTGCCTTCTTCATTCAATGACCACCCACCCAAATCTATCCCCCTCATACAGGTTACCCCTCACCCCTCCCCTCGAGGCAGTCCCCTCCCCACCCCAAAGGGCACCCCGGTGCACACTCCCAAGGACAGCCCGGCTGGGACCCCCACCCCAACACCGCCCCCCAGCCCTTCCATTGGAGGCATGCCTTGGAGGACGCGCCTCAACTCCATCAAGAACAGCTTCCTGGGTTCACCACGCTTCCACCGCAGGAAACTCCAAGGTACTGACATTACAGCAGATTTAAGATTTTTATGGTTAACGCTGAATTACCTTGTAATCGTGTTAATTTCATCCCTCCCTTACTGTACTAGTATGATCTACTTGTTATCTGTCTCTGAGCCTTTCACCCGTTCCTGACCTTTGACTCTCTTTCCACAGTTCCCACACAAGACGAGATGTCCAGCCTCACACCAGAGTCTTCCCCAGAGTGAGTAGACTTTACTGCTGTACTTTTTGAAGCCACCACTGCTATCATAATTATGCATAACCTGTCAGCCCCTCAGTTATTGGCTCAAACAGGCTCACTCTTGATAGCATGATGTTTTGGAAAGTATTACATCCATGAATGTTTGATTTTCACCTGCTGAGTTCCCGGTAATGACCTCAGGCCTGGTCTGGGATGGAGAAGCAGCTCCGTAGCAGGAGGTAGGGGGTTGGTTATGAGGTAGGGAAGGTATCCTCTGTGATGTTGCTGAGCTCCCAGGGGCCTGATAACTCAAGGTTGGCCTAGATATGCCTGTTTGGCTGGCTGGCTGGCTTGGCCATCTCCATCTGGCTGGGAAGAACATCCTGGTTGGAAGGAGTTGGAGAGATGGCTAGAAAAGACCTTCTCTTAGCTGGGTTGGGCTTGATTACAGGCATACACAGTCACACACCAGATGTAACCTGCTTTTTACTGCAACATGCCCCCTAATGTGTCTGCAGGCATTATAACATTATGTAAGTCTCTACTTCTATTTAAACATTTAGTATTTATTTATATTTAAGCGGGGGATCAGGGAGTATTTCTCTTTTTGCTGAAGAGTCCATCAACATTTTCAAGAATCTCATGAAATATTAATATGCCAGAAAACAGGAGTCCATATGGCTTATTAGTGGGTGCAGGTACACCTGGGCTGTGGCCAGTAGTGAATTCATCTACCTCTGCCCCCTCTGGACCTACAGTTCTGTTCACAGAGAGGCTCAATTATCTTTCTCTCTCTTTCACGCACACACACACACACACACACACACACACACACACACACACACACACACACACACACACGTGCATTACCCAGTTGCACAAAAGGTGAAAGTGAGAAAACTTTCCTCCCCTGAACAGTTTTAGCTCATTTCCCTCGAGGTTTTCTCTGTTTGCTCCTTTTCTTTTCCCCAGAGCTGCAGAGAAAGATGGATAGATGGGATAGATTGGATGGGTTGGTAAAACAAGGAAGCAAAAATGGTGAAAGGAAGACAAATCAAAATCTCTAGTAGGTGTATACAGCAGGAATCAATATAAACTTGCAGCTGACACAGTTTTCTTCTTCTTGTCTCTCCCTACAGACTTGCCAAAAAATCCTGGTTTGGTAACTTCATCAACCTGGAAAAAGAGGAGCAGATCTTCATTGTCATCAAAGACAAGCCTCTCAGCTCCATCAAGGCAGACATCGTTCAAGCCTTTCTCTCGGTATACAAACCGCTGTCTTGCTTATAACCTCACCTTTTCCTTCTCTCCACTGGCCCCCTAAACCCCTCTACCATCTGATCTGTGACCCCTGTGCCCCAGCTTCTCTCTTTATAACCTAGATGTGTGTTCATGCAGCAGTCTTACCTGTGTATCTGTTGTCTGATGCAGGACGTTGCCTCTTTTAACCGCAGTGGCAATTGGCTATGCCATGAGGCAGCCTCTCTCTGAGTGTTTGCTAACATGCTTCTGATTTATGTAGCAATTCAGTAAACTGCTTGTGTTCAGTGCTTCTATTTTCTCTCTGACTGCAGACTCACTTGAGGTCAATAGAAAATCAACAGAGAGCATTGATCATTAGCATATAGATGCTTTGCCCTCAGTACCGTCTATTGAGCATGTGCGTGTGTGTTTGTGTGCATATTTAAAAGTGTAGTGTGAGGAATTGAGAAATAGTGTAGATTGTATCTGTATGTGTGGTCTGTTTATGATAGTGTGGATGTTCAAATACATGCTGGAATGCAGGCAACATCAGGGTTTCTTGGCGAACACGGCGTAATCTGTATCAACAAACATTCAGCAGTGGTAGTTGATATTCAGTGTACATAATTGAACAGAACCTATCCTCACCCGAGTTAGATTTAACAAAGTCTAAGTAAATGCAAACTCTGCCAGTGCAGGTCAAAGTCAAATCTGTTTCCCCATCCCTGTAGACAGCTATTTTCTCCTCTGGGTTATGCTAGCTGGTATTCCAGACAGGAGATTGGCACCTGAATCAGTGGAATTATACCTCTCAGCACACTCACATTAATGGAATGTCAAACCCTCTCCAGCACTGTGGCGAAACGTGACTATTTCAGAGCTCACCTGTTCATTGGGCATACAAATTCATTTTAGGTGGGAGAGTGCAATGTTGTTGGATGACTCAAGATTACATTAGTTTAAGTCTCCCTGGCATGCATGGCTACTCCCCGAGGCATTAATCTCCTTAGAGTTTCAACTGTGGCTCGGTAGTATGTGGAGGGTATTTTAATGAGGGTTTATTCACCTTGTCATTTGAAAGCTGTGGGAGAAAAATTAAACATAAATGCTCCCTATGTATAATCCCATTACCCGCCTCTTTTTACTACCTAGTTTTATTCCTATCTCTGCCTCTTTGTCCATTTTTCCTTTACTGACTACTCTTCTTTTTTTCTCCCAGATCCCCAGCCTGAGCCACAGTGTGATCTCTCAAACCAGTTTCAGAGCAGAGTACAAGTCCACAGCGGGCCCTACAGTCTTCCAGAAGCCGGTCAAATTCCAGGTGGATATCACCTACACGGAGAGCACAGCCGCCACCAAGGAAAATGGCATCTACTCTGTCACCTTCACCCTGCTCTCAGGTCAGGATGCACCTAGTTACGAACAATCTACTCTTTTTCTATACCTGCTTATTCTATACCTGCTTATTCTGCATGCATTGGGCAAGAGAGGCATTGTACACTGAACTGGTCCCTGGTTTGGCAAGAGATATTCTGACTCTGGAGACCCCAGTGAGCTGAGTCTCTGTTGTATATGGTGACTTTGTGTTTGCTAATGAAGCAACCATACTGTTAACTTTTTATCCTGATCCATTCACAAATCTGGCAAAATAACATTAAAAAAACAAAAGACACTAATGTAAGATAGGCAGACAAATAAAAAACAGTGAAGTGTAGTAACAGTAATGGAACACAAAGCAGGTGTCCAGTTGCACAGGTTGGCTGAGTGCTCTATAGAAGAGGGGGAACTAAAAACATATTTTGTTTTTGTACTTCAGTAAAGCGCACAGCCTTTACTTTAGGTGGGATTTGATTCCTTCTCCTGTGGTCAATCCAGACAGAAAGGGTTCAACCCAAGGACCATTCTGCTGTGAGACAACAAATCACAGAGGACAGAGTTACATACAGTATTATGTAATCTTCCATCTCATCAGGCTCACAGAGGTCTTTGGGAAATTCAAGCTCACAAGTCACTTTGAAAGGTGTGGAAAGGCATCACTTACATGTCGAGGGGAATGCTGTCACACTTCAAACTAATGAAGTTACACTATATTCGTATCCAGCCAACAAATAAACTAGAAGTGCTGCTTCCAGAGGTGGGCGCTCTCAAACTTTCTGCCAAAAAGAATGGCTGCCTAAGGATTTTCAAAGTTCTTCCAATCCTGTATGCTTGATAAGATTTTCCCCAAACCTCCCTGAGCGTAACAAGATTAGGTCTGGCTATGCAAGATTACATACTATGCAATCGTGCGTGCATTCTTGCAGTCTAGCAGAAACACGTGCATGCTCTCTTTTCCCTCTTTCTGTCTCACACATATTTACAGGCAAAGACACACACACTCAAGTGGGGGACACATTTGAGTTGAATGGGGTGTAATAGTTGCTGTTTGGAGCCTGCTGGTTCTTCCGTGTCACTGGCCATACTGTATACAACAGGTAGACAGCAGGAGCTTACAGAAGCACTCCTCACTGGCCTCCATTCATCATCACAGGCTTTCTGCAGCTTTTCCAGCTCACATTTCAAACCATGTCCTTGTGTGTATGCACTTACTCTAGTACTCTACCCACTTTTTTCCACTCTTAATTTTTCCATCTATATATTTTCTGTCTGTCTGATGCAACTGATCATGCCAAAACTTCCTCTGTGGGTTTTTTGTTCAGGACCAAGCCGGCGCTTTAAGCGAGTAGTGGAGACGATTCAGAGCCAGTTGTTAAGCACACATGACCAGCCTGGCGTCCAACAGCTGTCTGGTGAGTAAGAATTTCTATTTTTCAAAATAATAATTTCAAATTCTTTTCCAAAACCTCTTCACCCTTAACCCGACCGCCTCATTCACCCATCCCACCCCCTGACGAACCCCTTCTCACGGCTGAAGCTAAGCTAAATCCTGCCCTCCTCTTCCCCATGCTTGAAATCCCTGAGACACTCTCCGCTTCTCGAAAAACGGCTTCTTCTGCATGCCTTGAAAGGGTGGGACTTGCTCTCAAGCACGGGTCAAACGTTGTCTCGATGCCCTGGCAGTGAAGATTAGAGTAGAGGTAGGGTAAGCTGATTTGCATTCTGTTACTCCTACTTCCAAGACTGATTGTCGGAGCTTGTCACCATGGCAACACCACTGCACCTCAACGCACTCCCACAATGCACTGCACCGCACAACCACACCACACCTGACAAGCGCTCGCTCTCTCTCTTTCTCTCTCTCTCTGGGTGTTTGTACAATAGGACCCACGCCCCCTGTTTTCCCCCTATCCACCAGCTCCTCCAAAGCTTGTCGAGTAGATACAGAAACCTCTGAAAGGCAACCTTCATCACCACCTAACCGTTCACCTGTGAACTTTATTACGTTATTCCATCTTCTCATTAGTTGTAGGGTTGATGCTGAGTCCCTGGACATGTTCTTTCCCCAATGTGGCTCCATCTTCTTCACTCAACACACAGTCTGGGTGCTGAAAATAAAAATAAGCGAGAACTAGGGATGTGACTCCTCCCCTTAGCATGTCCTTCCTTGTGAATCACCGCTCTGTTTATGTGAGTCTTGGTTGCCATCCTCTTGACAACAGCTCCACCTGCTGGTCATGTAGGTAAACACCACCAACCTGAAATGCACCTTTTTTTGTCAGGAAATGTGTTGTTTTCTTTGGATGTCAGTTTTATCCCATCCAGGAATCATATTGTTGGTGTCTGTATGTTTGTGTATTTCTGTATCCTTTCAACCCCATTTTCTCTTCCATATCTGACACAAAGCCAACATATAGCTTCTTATAATATTCGGTTACTATACTAAAAGTTACAAGTGTGAGCTGTGTCTTCGCTCCTTGGCTACTAAGCAATGTTACTCTCACTGGCACTCACAAAATGAACAGCAGTCATCACAGCTGTTGTGATATTTAACAGTCTGTTATCATTGCTGTGCCTCAGTAAGTTTACCAATTACCTCTGATCTGTTATATTATTGTAGTGCTAATTAACAGGCTGAGGTATGGGGAGGGTGAAATTAGAATAAATTGCATTGGATTAGGTTTAAATGACTGCTGGGAGTTGTTTCAGCAGCAGAGATGACATTGTAAGAGTACTGTGTGTAATATTAGAACCACTTAAACCAATAGAAGATTACAAAACACAATGAAGTACAGTATTCTGTGAACACTATCAAAGCGGACAAATTTAGTGTCAATGCCAGTTGTTTTTGACCAAGGTCAGTCTAAATTAATTTCTCATCACTCTCTCAGAATCTCTCACTCTGTAATATGAATCTTTGCTGTAATTGAAAGCATTGTTAAACTCAATTTCCTCCTCCTTCCTCTTTCCTTTGGCCTCCTAACACACCTTTTGCACTACCTGACCACAGGGCACTTGAAGAAGCCAGTGGCTGTAATTAACAATAGAAATGGCTTTGCATACCAATGTGTGTCAAACAAAAGGCTTCATCAAGTCTTGGTCATTAGGTCCCATAATTACTATTAACAGCAGCATACCTGGGAGCTTAGGAAGACAATAGAGGGCTGGGACAATAGAAGGACTATTGGAGAACACAACAAGCATACTTGAGGATCACAGAGGAGAGCCGTTCACTTAGAGGGTGGCGTCTCTGTTAACAGCCGACAGTAGGGACTACCAGGGACTACGGGTGGAAAATAGCAATTTGCTAAAACCCGGTGCAATGCATCTCTCCTTGTTATATACAGGGTTTTATTGTGCACTGTGCCTGTTCAAATAAAATAAATAATAATAATAGTATTAAGTTTCATGAGTTTACTGACATTTTTGAAAATGTGCAGATTTTGGTGGAGTGAAGTATACATGTGGAATTCTTTACACATGAGAAAGGGAGAGGGGGCATTGGGGAGAAGTTGGCTGCAACTGTTTTCCAGCTGGATGATGGAGCAGACGAAACCTAACTGTGGCACATAGACAACCACAACAACAAAAACACATTTGCTCATTCATGATTAGAAGAAACTTACTCTAATCTCCAGACTACTGCTGGAAGTCTTCACACTGGCAGCGTGCGCAGATTGGCAGGCTAACTTTTGGAATTGAGGATTTCTTAGCAGAAGCCAGCCATAATGGAAATTAGGCTTTCCAACAGCCTTTTATTAAGTGCAGATACACAGACAGTCTCCAGTCCAGTGTGTGCGTGTGCTTTGTCATCTGTGCAGCCCCCCTGCCTGTTTTTACTGATGTTGTCACTGTTCATTTCTCGGCCCACAGGACTCTATTGTGCAAATGGCTCTTGTCAAGTATTCAGAAACAGTCCTGTTTGTGACTGATAGTTCCCAGAGATGTGCTGTGTGTGCACCATTAACAAAAAGAACATTGACTCTTTATTTGCTCCATTTCTCATGTTTGGTGTCCTCACCACTCCACCTACCTGCAGTTGGACCATTAAGGCCCTGCAGAAAGAGTGAGTGCATTTAGCTGAAGATCATTTGCATGCGTACTGTCGGACGCGCGCACACACACACACACACACACACACACACACACACACAGACTGCCTCTAAGTGTGCTTATAGCAGTTGGGAAGAAACTTGTATTATTTAGCATATCAGCTTATTTTATTCAGCACACAGCATTGAGTTAAGACAGTATTTTTACGACTTACATGCAACTCACCACAGTTTTGACTCTGCTGTGGTCAAATCACATGAGTTGGACTTTTTCTTACTTCAAAGAGTTGGCACAATGATGATGCAGCCTCCCAGCGTGTTTGATGTCTTTGGCCAGGTTTTTATAGTCAGTTAAAGTGTAAAATTCAACACTGAACTCAGGTGTAGAAATGTGTTGATCAAAGGCTGTCTCTTTGCTCTAGGCAGGCTTAAGTCCAAACATTACTGCATTAGATGTGCCTCACTCGGTACAATAGCCATCAGATAGACAGCCTCCATCATATACGCTTTGCTGAGGTTCAAGTTACCCTTCGGTGCCACAGTGACGTCTCTCATTGTCCTCCTTCCATCATCCGTCCTGCTTCTGGCTGGCCAGACCTGCTAGTGCACACATTTACTCAGAAAATACACCACGCTTACTCTCTCTGCATACAGTTTATATCATTTGACATTACGTTTACATTGACTCCAGTGTCAGTTTCCACTTCTAGATTGAATGGCTATTTGTGTGTTTTAATTGGTTGTGCTGTGACATATGCATGGTTTACGGGAGCTCACATATAACTTTGTCCCAACATGGCTGCCCCAGCAGTTCTCATTGTCGCTTTGTCTGTCAGTCCTCCTCCTCGCCTCTGCTTGCTCTGTCTTACCTGTAGCCGCGTCTCTATCCTGTGAACCCCATTGTTCATTAGTTTGTTTGTTCTCTTTTTTCTCTTTCCCCCTTTTTTTGTCCTCTTTTCTTCCCGTCTGTGTACCTAGGCAGCCCATTGAGTAACTTCTTTGACGTAATAAAACAACTTTTTTCAGACGAGAAGAACGGACAGGTGCCCTACCCCTCTGGCACGCCCTCCAAGCACTGCCCCTCGCCCATGCACGTCCGGAGGCACGAACCAGAAAATAATGACACCAAATGCCCCGCTGCGGGCCGAGACAGACCCAAGTTGTCGCTGGCATCTGTGGGGACACAGGAGGAGTCTTAGACTGAGGAGCTGTGTAGTCGAGCCAGTGTTAAAACCCATCCCAGTATCATTATAAGCCAGTGGCACGGAGGGAAAATTCTCTTTGTGCATAGCTAGATGTATATACTCATTTATGGACATATGTTTTGTATAAAATGACTTTATATAGATAGAAATATATTGAGAGAATCAAAGTGATATTTTACAAAAAGCATACTGCACCTACATTACAAACACACAATCTTGTCCCTCCACTCCCCTTTTCATCACCCCTCAGTGTCCACCATCCTCATCCACCCCTCTACACCAACCATCTAATCGCCTGTGGCCCTTGCTCTGTTTTTTGCTCCCTTGCTGCTAACATGTGTGATGACCTGACTTGTTTCTGATACCAGGAATTATCCAGAAAACCTATTAAGTCCCTCCTCCTGCTCCCTGCTCCGCTCGCCCTCCCTCGACCACCCCTCCACCCCCCCGAGCGTGCCGAGAGAGACGGACATTTGTTGACGGAGGACTGCTTTTAGAGATGCGCTGAGAGGGTGGAGGGTTACCATGGAAACAGACCCTTCATGCAGACTTCTACCTTCATCTCCCTCTGCGCCCCTTCTCCACCTCTGGCAGCCATCAGTAGAAGTAGATGAAAATACCTTTAGTGTTCCCCCTCATCCGAGAAACACACAAACACACACACACATGCACAACTAATCCACAAACACGTCAGTGAAACAAAAACGCACACTCCCCTCGCCAACCCCGACCACTTTCCTTTCTTCGTGCTCAAGGAGCGTTCATTAATTGGAAGCTAGCATTTTACAAAAAGACACTGCATACACACAACATATACATGCATACATGCACAGGTCCAGTATGCACAAAAAACTCTGGGATGTATTAACAAGAACATGAACAACACCAACAATAAAAAAGAAGACATGCAGAATCACTGACTGATTCAGAGGAGGAGAGAAGGAGGAGGAGTTTTGTGGAAAGCCCAAACAGCCGACGCGGATGCTTGCTGGATTGTATTTCTTTGCTTTTTAATGTACTTTCTTTGTGAAGAACTGGGTTTAAAATACTAACTGACTTTATTAGAATTAACTCTATTGCTGCAAACGGACTGGAATTGTGATTTCAGAGAGGAGTAGGGTGTGAGCAGAATGGGGCCGGGGGCAGATGATATGATAGTACAGGGTTGGGGGGGGACGTGGGTGGTTATGTGGGTATTTAAAATGAATGATCTATTCTGTTGTACAGACTGATATCATTTCTTATGTAAAAAAAAGAAAAAAAAAGAAATGTCTAGTTGTGACACTATGTTTAGTACCATAGGTTCAGGTTGGTAAACCTGCGCCTGCCACATTCTGTTATTTTAAATTCTTCTGTGTATTTTTGTTACATAATCATTTATGTCTTTGTTTGATTGACCTAATGATGATCCAAACATTCCTGTTTGTGTTATCTGCAGCACTTTGTCTGGTTTTCCATTTATACCTCTCTCTTAGTCTCACATACCAGCAGTAGGAGTAGAGGAACAAAAAAATGATGACGTGATAAATGCAATTGTGGATATTTTTGTATTTCTGTCCTTATTTATTCATGTTTGTTCATCTCACTGTTTGAGTTCCTAATTTATTATAACTTGGCTATTTATATGAACAAAGCTGTTAGGTCAGTTGAATGTTATTTATTACCCTCTTGTGTGTTCGTAAATGGGGCAACATTTGAAGAAAAAAAATGAACTTTTTTTTCTTTTCTTTTCTTTTGGTCTGAATTTAACAGAATTATGTGAACAACCACAAGTCACAAATTCCCTGACCTCTATGAAGAGGGGAAGAGAACTTGTGGGAACTCTTCAAAAAAATTATTTACCAGTAATTTAAGAATGTAGACTTAGCCTCTTTTTGGAGAGGGAATATGCTCTTCTATTGATATTTGTCAGTTTCATATTATTGTGCTTGTAGGCCAGGCCTGAGGAGAAGGACACCACAGATCCCAATCTACTTCTTCTCTTTGTAAATAAACAGACAAATCGTGGGGGTTGATTGTCTTCTCAACCATGCTGGGGATTCCTGCTCTATGCTTTTAGCTTGTATTGCTGTGTGCATGTCAAACATGAGCTTTTCTTTGCATGGCTTCAGTGTTCATGTTCCATGCCAAACTCACTCCTTCTCTCAGCCTTCATCAGTTCTCTCTCCACAAAACTACCTTTTAACGTTTTAAATTCCCCCTCTGTCCCTTACTTTTCTCCCTCTTTGCTTTTATTTCTGGCCTTCTTTTTTTTTTATTATTGTTCCCTCGCTCCCGCTGAACTTTCCCTTTCTCCTCCTCTTATCTTGTGCACAAAGCTTTTGAATGATGCTTCCTTTACTCTGTACCTCTCTCTGGAAGGCTCAGAGGTCTGGGCTCTCTCTACCTGTTGGTGGAAGGGGCACAGTGAGGGGATATCAATACACAAACACAAAGCAATACCCTATTGTTCACCCTCCTTTCTGTTTTCTACAATGGGAAGCTAGCAGCACCAAGGACATCCAATGATTCTGAGGCCCAGAGCGGTCTTTTGACAGAGCAGGAACAAAACTGACTGATGTAATCCCCATATAAAATAACTGTGAGCATCTTCAGTGCTGAAACAAATAAACTCATTAAGTTATGGTGCGTTTGTTTTCCTTCTTTGTGATTCTACTTGTATGGGTAAGTGCGGACCTAAAGTAAATATCCATAGTGTTTTGTGCCATTTAGTTATTTTGATACTAAAATGTATCAGGTGCTAAGTTTAGATTAATGTAGTGTAATTATAATCTTGCTTCCCAGTATACCAATTGTAATTTTCTTATTTTACCTCTCCAGCAAATCCTGCGTGAATTTATTTAATTTATTGATTTTCTTTTTATTGCACATGTAATGACGTTTATGTTGTAGATTGTGCATTTTCAAGTCTGGAGTTGTTCTGGATTTCAGGTAAGTCTATACAAACCAACACAAACAGATGGCAAATGACAAGGCTCGTTTACCAGGTTTATTACAATATTCAGCATTAAAACAGACTTTATGTATTCCAAATCCCATGTTGGATTCTGCTGCTGTACCTGTGTAGAAGCATTAAACCTCAGCATACATAAGCTTAAGCTTAATTAACTGTTAGAGTGTACCTGGAAAAAAACAACAGCTACACAAAAGCAACTTTTCAACAATAATATTAATAATTTGCTTGGATTAAAAAAAAAAACAATAAAAAGGGAACGCCCCGATAAATACTCTCACATCTTTTTTTTCTCATTAAATAGAAAATGTCCATCCCATTCTTCAGTAAGTGTTTTGATTCTGCAGCCATTTTAAAAATAGAAAATAAAAACATACAGTTACATAAAAAGTACATTTGTTAATCCAAAGCTTACATCGATGCTGGAGGCACTGAGTCTACTTCCTCCCACTCTGCATTATTAGGTTGAACGGGACAAAGCCACAAGTCCAGCATGGCCATCTCACTTGATTCTTCAATAAATGCTTCAGTCTATAGTCCCTTTACATAGCTTCAGTCAGAACCAGGAGGGTGCCATTGATCCCAATCCTCCATGGCAATTATTTACTTTGCCAGTTTTGTCCATTAGAGGGCAGCAGTGTTTCATAATTTAGAGTTCCAACCTGTGGCATCCATCTGTTGCTTCTCCACTTAAGCTTCCCGAGCCTTGGAGAAAAAGCATCCAATTTTCTTCTTCATAAACATGCTGTACACTGCAATAAATGTCAAGTTGGAGTGCTTGGCACTAAATATGAAACACTGAGTTGTCCACAGAACAAAGTCTTAACGGCTGCCAAAAAACTCACTGATCTGTGTCCCAGTGTCAAAGCACTGTGGAAGTTGCTTGTTACCAGATATATGATCAGATGCGACTAAGAAAACATCTGTACTCAAACTAGCTTCTACAGAACTGATCCTGTATCATTGATAAGAAGAAACTTCCGCTTCAACTGCCACATTCTTCTGCTTATTTCTGTCCTGTTGTCCTCAGACTCGGGAGGTGACGTGGAGAGAGCGTAGTCGTTGAGCCAGGGTGGCCTCCAGCTCCTCCAGAGGTGAGTCTACCCGGTTGTGAACCAGCGCGGAAGTGGAGATGTTCCCTTGTCGGGCCCCGGGAGGTCCCAACAGCAGGTTCCTGAAGCCCTCTCTCTCCAGTAGAGCAGGCATAAGCTGCAAGAAGTAACCTTCACAGAATGAGCTCAGTTCCACTGAACCATGGGCCTGGAAGAAAAAATAACAAATTAATGGTTTTTCAGTGTAGACAGGCAATTAATCATGCAACATTACTGTTTACTGTCTCAGTTGATATGTGGAATTAAAATTATGTTTGTTTGTATTCATTCAAGTTGTAACTAAACAACAATAAATCTTATTTGCTTTGTTCACATAACAGTACGATATGATCCAGGCGTGTGTGTGTGTGTGTGTGTGTGTGTGTGTGTGTGTGTGTGTGTGTGTGTGTGTGTGTGTGTGTGTGTGTGTGTGTGTGTGTGTGTGTGTGTGTGTGTGTGTGTGTGTGTGTGTGTGTGTGTGCGTGTGTGCGTGTGTGTGCGTGTGCGTGTGTGCGTGCGTGCGTGCGTGTTAGTTACCTTGGCTGTCTTGTAGATGCTGACTGCATTATCCAGGTTTATGTTCTGAGAGCAGATGAGTTCACAGTGTCTTTGTAGCACCCCCAGCTGGAACAGACTAGCAGCTGACAACAACTGCAGGAGAAAACACAAGCAAATGTTGACACTGAAGAAATACTGTCTTACATTTCATTCAGTCATATTTAGACAGCCAAAGCTTCGGATATGGCAACAAAGGCTAATTCTGTTAATTTTGGCAATCATTCTTTATTAGTTAAGATAATATTTCTGACTAGCTTAATTGTTAAGACACAGAGACACAATAATGTTGGTAGGGTCTCCAGTATAGCCAAATGATTCAAACCACATATTTGGAAACGAAAATAAAGGTTGAAATTCTATAATCTGTCAAACTTTGACCCACAGTGAATAATGGTGCTGTGCAGGTAAGCGTTTTTTTACAGTGCAATAGACCATTGTAATGGATTGTAATTGTGGTATGTTCCCTTTTGTTTTAACTAGGGTTTGACTAGTTTGTGATCACAAACTGAGCAAAATTTCTTTAAACACACTTAAAAAGCAGTACATATACTGTATTTACAGGGCTCCACTAAAAAGACATCTGACTGTGAATTATACATTACAGAAAAATATTGTATAGGTGTAGAGGTACACCTGGACAGGAAGTTACTGTTTGTTGTGTACCCTACATTTTCCTGTGCCAACAACCGTATTTCTTAACAAAATGTAAGTTTTTATGGAATTTCGATGCATTTATAGTGTTGTCTTTATTGACACAGGAGTTGTAACTCATGAGATATGATCATTTTATCTTGTAAACATGTTTCTGTATTCATTTAGTGAATCTCACCTCCAGCAAGTCAGGAACATTAGTTTTCAGCGACTCTGTTCCTCCACAGTACAGGTATGACATCATTATCTGCAGAGAGGTCAGAGGTCTCATTTAGGAACAAATGCGTACATTAGTTGAACTCATTTTTTTCAATCAATCTGAATTCATTGTGTCACACTAAAACAAAGAAATACTACTAGTACTAAGTATTTTTTAAATCAGGAAATAAAGAGTATATTTGGTACCTGGAAGATGTGGTACTTGACGTCACTGATCTCAATCTCCTTGTTGGAACTTCCATCTGGTCCAGAGGACGCCAGCAAAGACTTGAATCTAAAAGAAAGCAAATATCATTGGCAAAACCATTAAGGAAATTATTATTGTTTTAAATGACCACCGTCTCTGAGTATGTTAATGTGTCTTTCTGTCCAGTGTGAACTGATCTGCACTCACCTGTCAGAAGCTGTGATTAGCAAGACTCTGTGGCCGTAGAATGGTTTCCCCTCCACCACAAATATCACATCTGACATCTCCTTGTTATTCAGGAAATGAGGGTCTGTAGAAAAACATATCAGCACCTCTTTACAACTCCAGTCACAAGCCAGCTTTTCAGTGATCCAGTCTGAACACTGGTCCACCATTACAACAGCACACAGTAATGAGGCTAGAGCTTTGTTCAGACAGTGTCTTCTTGTATGCAGGTGTCTCGTGGTTGTGTCTGGATCCTAACAACTGGCATCAGTATGTATGTCAGAAATGTCTCAGGCTAACCATTTTTTTCCCCACACACATGTTCTCACAGTCTTTTAGTTCTGCTAAAGAGAAACACACCCATTTGCCCTTGGTCTTTCAGCCAGAGAAGAGGATTGCTATGGCTGTTTGATACCTTGCCCTTAATAATTAAATAACATTTTCAAGGAAAAATGCCAAATATTTCCTAGTTCAGCTTCTCAAATGCGAAGAATTACTGTAGGTATTTGTCTTATTTAATAAAAAAATAACTTACAATCTAGCAATTTAAGTACATCACCTTGGGCTTAAGGAAATTGCGATGGGTGGGGATATTTCACTTTTTTTAAATATTTTACAGACCAAGCAATTAATAAATTAATAAAAATAATAATCTGCAGATTACTCAATAATGAAAGTGAATAAAAATGTAGAGTCACCCACTCTAAACACTGATCTCTGTGTGTTCATATAGACATCAGAATCATAGCATAACTTACCCAACTGTGCTGAAAGAGTTGCCTTCATCTCAGGGACGGCTGGCAGAGGTGCCGGGCCAAAACAGTGACTAAAAATAGCCGCCAACTGCTGTATAATGGCATCATTCTGAAGGAAAGTGAAAGAACAGGGAGGAAGGTGTTATATCACACGTCTAAACTCAAACTGATAACACACAGAGGAAGGCGAGCAGACACAAGGTGAAGGTTGTGTTTGATGGTACCTTGGTGGTGCGTAAGATATTGAACATAAGGGGCAGGCCTATGGTGACCAGCTCCTCGCAGTAGTCCTCCTCCCTGATTGTGGTGAACTCTCGGAGGAGTGAGAGGGTGACCCCTGCCCTGGACTGCTGCTGGGCACAACGCAGAGATTCTAGCCACACGTGTAGTTTCCATGGTACACCTAGGTCAAAAGAAAAAAAAAAAAAGTTTTGTTTCCTTCATAGTTAGTAATTTGTAAAGTAAGCAAATCCTCTACTTGACATCTGATAGGTACCCATAGCTCGTAGCTCCATGGTGACATCCAGGTAGCCATGCTCAGCGCTGTAGTAGCTGGCCTCTTGCAGAGCCTTCATCCTGGCTTTGCAGAGCCTTGCTATGCCCACCTCTGGCAGGGCCCCAGGGCCAGAGGAAGGAGTGGGGAGCGGGGAGAGAGGGAGGAAAGGGCAGATCCCGGCCTCTTCACCCTCCACCCCCTCAGCTAAGATCTCCTCCAGAGACAGGACATCCTCTTTGACTTGCTGGGGCTGAGTCAGTAGCTTTCTCAGCACGTTCCTGACAAGATAAGTGCGAGGAAGAAGGGGGGAGGAAAGAGGACAAGGAAGGAAAGAAAGAAAGAAAGAAAGAAAGAAAGAAAGAAAGAAAGAAAGAAAGAAAGAAAGAAAGAACGAAAGAAAGAACGAAAGAACGAAAGAAAGAAAGAAAGAAAGAAAGAAAGAAAGAAAGAAAGAAAAACATTAATTTATGTCCGAACTGCAACACATACATCC